CATCTTATAACACAACCAGTAGAAGATTAGAGTGTCGCCTTTCGATAACTACACAGTCACCTTCATCTTAGAACACAACCAGTAGAAGATTAGAGTGTCGCCTTTCGATAACTACACAGTCACCTTCATCTTAGAACACAACCAGTAGAAGATTAGAGTGTCGCCTTTCGATAACTACACAGTCACCTTCATCTTATAACACAACCAGTAGAAGATTAGAGTGTCGCCTTTCGATAACTACACAGTCACCTTCATCTTATAACACAACCAGTAGAAGATTAGAGTGTCGCCTTTCGATAATTACACAGTCACCTTCATCTTAGAACACAACCAGTAGAAGATTAGAGTGTCGCCTTTCGATAACTACACAGTCACCTTCATCTTAGAACACAACCAGTAGAAGATTAGAGTGTCGCCTTTCGATAACTACACAGTCACCTTCATCTTAGAACACAACCAGTAGAAGATTAGAGTGTCGCCTTTCGATAACTACACAGTCACCTTCATCTTAGAACACAACCAGTAGAAGATTAGAGTGTCGCCTTTCGATAACTACACAGTCACCTTCATCTTATAACACAACCAGTAGAAGATTAGAGTGTGACGTTTTGATGACTTCATGGTCACCTTCATCTTAGAACACAGCCAGTAGAAGATTAGAGTGTGATGTTTTGATGACTTCATGGTCACCTTCATCTTAGAACACAGCCAGTAGAAGATTAGAGTGTGACGTTTTGATGACTTCATGGTCACCTTCATCTTATAACACAGCCAGTAGAAGATTAGAGTGTGATGTTTTGATGACTTCACGGTCACCTTCATCTTAGAACACAACCAGTAGAAGATTAGAGTGAAACGTTTTGATGACTTCATGGTCACCTTCATCTTATAACACAACCAATAGAAGATAAGAGTGTCGCCTTTCGATAACTACACGGTCACCTTCATCTTATAACACAACCAGTAGAAGATTAGAGTGTGACGTTTTGATGACTTCATGGTCACCTTCATCTTAGAACACAGCCAGTAGAAGATTAGAGTGTGATGTTTTGATGACTTCACGGTCACCTTCATCTTATAACACAGCCAGTAGAAGATTAGAGTGTCGCCTTTCGATAACTACACGGTCACCTTCATCTTATAACACAGCCAGTAGAAGATTAGAGTGAAACGTTTTGATGACTTCATGGTCACCTTCATCTTATAACACAACCAGTAGAAGATTAGAGTGTCGCCTTTCGATAATTACACAGTCACCTTCATCTTATAACACAACCAGTAGAAGATTAGAGTGTCGCCTTTCGATAACTACACAGTCACCTTCATCTTATAACACAACCAGTAGAAGATTAGAGTGTCGCCTTTCGATAACTACACAGTCACCTTCATCTTAGAACACAACCAGTAGAAGATTAGAGTGTCGCCTTTCGATAACTACACAGTCACCTTCATCTTAAAACACAACCAGTAGAAGATTAGAGTGTCGCCTTTCGATAACTACACAGTCACCTTCATCTTAGAACACAGCCAGTAGAAGATTAGAGTGTCGCCTTTCGATAACTACACAGTCACCTTCATCTTATAACACAACCAGTAGAAGATTAGAGTGTCGCCTTTCGATAACTACACAGTCACCTTCATCTTAGAACACAACCAGTAGAAGATTAGAGTGTCGCCTTTCGATAACTACACAGTCACCTTCATCTTAGAACACAACCAGTAGAAGATTAGAGTGTCGCCTTTCGATAACTACACAGTCACCTTCATCTTAAAACACAACCAGTAGAAGATTAGAGTGTCGCCTTTCGATAACTACACAGTCACCTTCATCTTAGAACACAGCCAGTAGAAGATTAGAGTGTCGCCTTTCGATAACTACACAGTCACCTTCATCTTAGAACACAACCAGTAGAAGATTAGAGTGTCGCCTTTCGATAACTACACAGTCACCTTCATCTTAGAACACAACCAGTAGAAGATTAGAGTGTCGCCTTTCGATAACTACACAGTCACCTTCATCTTAAAACACAACCAGTAGAAGATTAGAGTGTCGCCTTTCGATAACTACACAGTCACCTTCATCTTAGAACACAGCCAGTAGAAGATTAGAGTGTCGCCTTTCGATAACTACACGGTCACCTTCATCTTATAACACAACCAGTAGAAGATTAGAGTGTCGCCTTTCGATAACTACACAGTCACCTTCATCTTAGAACACAACCAGTAGAAGATTAGAGTGTCGCCTTTCGATAACTACACAGTCACCTTCATCTTAGAACCCTCGTGTAGTAGATTTGTGTGTCGCCTTTCGATAACTACACAGTCACCTTCATCTTAGAACACAACCAGTAGAAGATTAGAGTGTCGCCTTTCGATAACTACACAGTCACCTTCACCTTAGAACACAACCAGTAGAAGATTAGAGTGTGACGTTTTGATGACATTATGATCTTCTGCTGTCTACTTTATTCTAGTAATCATGATATTTCCACTGCAGTCATTATAAACATATACCTCAGAAAAATAAGAGAACTGAAAGAAAAAAGGAAAAAAAAGAACGAAATAAAGAAAGAAAGAAAGAACGAAACAGACAGATAAATAAAGAAGGAAAAGAATGAATGAATGTAATATAGAAAAATATAAGCAAACCTCTAGTGTATTAAACTTACCAACAGAGAATATCTTACATTTATCCTGGACACTGACCCTTAAAATGTGGTTACCACAACGGATCTAGCTGGCTCTAACTGTGGACTCTAGAACCAATTATTGTAATTAGCCTGTCGTACCTATGTCTACTGTGACAGATGATATATCTATAACCATATATTTTCAATAAAAATGACCCAGGGCAGGCTATCACATTTGATAGATCATCAATATTTACGCAATCGGGCTTTGTACAAAGAAATGGATCTGATCAATTTGTACCTGTAGGCGAAACACTCCGTCCGTTCTTCTGGACTTTTTCAAACGTTTTTATATATATGTATATTTAGTTCAGCACTCTTTATGTTTAATATTCTGAAGAATTGAACAATTGGAATACGTCCGCTTCCATCAGTTTTGTTTGATTCATCTACAGAGCATAATAAATGTGACGAGCTTCAGCACTCTAATCTAAAATGGAAACGATTTTTATCCCGTGTGATCAATTTTGTTGTCAAATATCTCAGAAAATGATCTCTTCAAAGTCACAAATCACATTGTGAAATATGAAATGTAATTTGCACAAATGTGACGTCATAATGCTGACATCAAAATGCAATATAGGTCACATAAAACTGGTTAACACAAAAAAAAAGTACTCAAGTATTGAACGTCTTGTGGCATTCATCAGCAACATGATCTTTAAGCATTGTCCTACATATGATGGTACATATATTGGTATACCAATTAAATAACACGGCAATCGAGAGAAAAAAACGAGCCTTAATATATCAAAACAGAAATATTCAATGTTTCCATACTGGTGTCCGTTTAAGCTATAATATATGAAAATAAAATGAGAGTAAAGTAAAGTGTACGACTTATTATTAAAAAGATTGGCACATCTGCACACATATTGGGAGATGTCATTGTTCTTGTAAACAGTCGATATAACTTAACGACGCCACGACACAACAAGTTCGACTTTTAGTTCCGACTTACGCCTGCATCAACGTGTTGGAAACAGCTTGCTTCTGTTAATTGGTTTAGTGACCAGAAATATTCCATCCCACTTCGGCACCATCCATTATGTCGTACCATAGGGAAGAATAACGAAAATTGTAGCCATGTTCTAATTACTGTCCTTCCAGTCTAGTAAACAATATTCTCCTCAGAATTACTTATAATCTTCGTCACATCGCAGGGCAAAATACCAAAGAATTTCATTGTTAAGAACGACAACAAAATGAAAACTATCATTATTTTCAACACAGGACGTAGAAAGTTACAATACAACATGAAATGAAGAACTCTGGTAACATTAAGGCGACCCTATGATAGGTGAAACACTTTCATATATTGTTATACGCAAAACTAAAATGAGTGGTATGACGTTAAAGTAATTGGTGGGGTGGTCGGGTGGCGCAGTGGTAGCACATTCGCCTTTCACCGCAGTTTGACTCCAGGAACGGACGTGAAAAGGTAAGGGTCGCCTGCCCGACCACGTGGATTTCCCCCGCGTAATCCGGTTTCCTCCCACAATAAGACCCCTCACGCGCTTACATCCAGGCCAACAAGAGTGATTCATATAAGTTGAAATAACTTGTTTTGCAATTGTTGTAAAATAAATAAAGTTTATAGTTTTATAATAGTAATTGTCTCGAGTAACAACAATACAGTACATGTCATATATAAAATCAACTTTAATGATAAAACTTGACATGGTGAGCTTTAACAACATAACGGTCACACTTTATTGCCATAACGAACTCCGTCACAAAAAAAATCATCCGGTTTTCTTCATCTTCGTAAAAATAAAAAAAACAAACAAGCAAACTAACAAGTTTTTTTGTATTATTGTAGATAAATTATATGAAAACTACCTGTCTGTTATCTTGACTGATTTGTGTGAATTCAGGATTAAAAATAGACATTTTTAGAATAACAAGTGATAACTTTGAACCTGTTGCAATTATACACTCTTAAGCAAAATACAACTTTATTTAAAAAATAACATGTTGTATAACTGCATATATAGAGAAAATAAACAACTTATTTTTACAACTAAGAAACTAAAGTCTGTTCTGATTGATTGTTTTATTTAAGGATGTATATATGTGTGTGTGTCGTTAGATTATCACAGATTTACTTATAACACTTATTTGTCAAGAAAATGTCTTTATGTCCCTCTTTCGACCCTTTCGCTTTAATCTCTGGGAGAGTAATTAAATAGATTATATAAATTTATGAGTTGATATCTTCCATTAATTAGTGTGATAATGATAATATACACAGATGTATCACATAAAACAGATATAACATTGTCCCCTGGGTAGTTATCATTGTAGCACCATCTGACGCTGTCAGGGTGTTGTCAGATGTTGTGTCCATACCGCTGTTGGCTGTTGTAATTTCCTCCCTCCTGTCCAAATAGCCAGCATCTCCCATGTACACTTTCCATATAAGAACATTTGGACCACTACTGCCAGTAAAATCCATCGAATCCAATTGAAACTTATGTAGTTTGTTTACAGAAAACCATAAAAACCCATCGAAATCAAAACTGAAAGCATCAACGAAGTTCATACAGGTGTCGTCCGACATGATATTCGTCAGAGTTCTCATCTCCACGTCATCATAATCGTCTAAACCCTGATAGGTTCTATCATAGTCCATATTCCATCTATATATAGCATTTTCAGCTAGAGAGGCAAAGTACAAGAAATTGTTCTTACTGTATATCATACTTGCTGTCTGAGAGGGTCTATTTCCAACTTTCCGAATGGATCCCGCGAAATCTGTCCCTGGGACGGAGGTAACACTCGTGGGAATCCGATACACTGCGTAACCAGAGAGAGGAGCATAGTACAGGTGTTGCATGTCACGTGACATCGCGATGCCATTAATACCAGCAGCAATCTCAAAGTTTTCTCCCAAAATGGTGATGTTTCCGTTTCCTGGTTGTGGTAACATTGACGAGTGTGAGTAGAAATAGGACAGATTCTGGATCAGGTCATAGACTACCAGTTTGAAATTAAGTGTATCGGAAATGTAAGCAAATCGAGGCTCATTGTCGCTGTATTGAATAACGATATCGTTGAGGTAGTTTGTCCTGCGGTTCACAACTTCATTAGGGAACTCGTGTCGAGTCACCTCCTCCATTTTGTTGATATCATACACGACGATTTTAGCTGGACAAAGGTTTTCCGTTTCTGTACAATCGGTTGACATAAAATTTATTCTCCCTGTATCAATGATCCACATCCATCCTGTGTTCGGATCTATCTCCATACTTTCAACATATTGCAGGGCGTCGCAGTTTCCAATTTCTTGCATATCCCAGTTAGGAAACGGCTGTAACAGCGATGTCCCGTTTATAACAACGACCTTGTTGAGCGTCGCTGGTACACCAAGTCGCCATCTTGGAACGGTGACGTAAACTTCATTTTCATAGACTTTTATTCCGGAGATAATATTATTCTCCGGAATGTATTCTTCGCTTTCAATTGCATCTTCACGCACCGTTTCGCTTGGCCAGTCATAATCAACTACCGTGATCTTATGCATGATTTGATTGTTGTTGCAAACGTCTTGACCGATCGTGACTGATATGAAAAAAGTGAGAGTCAAAACTAAAAACATGAGGAAAGAAGAGATACAACATTTCTGCAGTTCCATATCGAGAAAAGGATAAGAATGGGGTAAACTCATGTATTCAAATATTTATATATCAGTGGCATCAGGGCACGAAATCCGGAAAACTTATAAATGACACGCAAATCCGGGTATCGGATTGTCAAAAGGTGATGCTATGGTAAATAGGTACATGTGCTATCTGTAACCTAAGTAGGATCCGGGGGGATCTACGTGCTGCAATATATCTTATGACTTTATAGTTAAGTGCCAATGAAATAAAGTCTTGTATGATCGGACCAGGAAGACACTCCATCGTGGTGTCAGTGCGTGACCCTGCACATGTACGCATTTTGTACACGGTTAGTTTTTACCGATATTTACAGGGATATGATTGCATACTATCTACAGCAATGAAAAGTGTTTTTTCTGATCTCAAACACTTTTAAATTTCAGCATATACAGGTAATTCCAAGATATCCTAGATATATCTAGAAGTGAAATCGAAACGTTAGACAATGTCTTTTTTGCATGTTTTTCTAATTTCTTTTACAAAAAACAATCAGCTGAGAGAAAGCAGTTTTTTCCTCATACATAAAAGTTAATTAGAGAATTGTGCCACCAAACTGAACGAAGTTATTGTCAGCCAGAAAATCGACTAAACTCATACTTTCATCCTCATTACATTTCACCTTGACTTGAGACGTTCGTCATGAAATATGTTCTAGTATAGTTCATAACCATGTCCTCGTACTCTTTTCACTTTTCTGTGAAAACAAGAAAATGAATGTATTCCTTCAGTAAGTAACGAGTTATAGGACAATAATGTACGGGTGAAACAAGAACTCAAATGTTCGGAAGAACAAGATGTTTCTCAGAGGAGGTCTTAAGTATTTGTTAAAAAGCTCTTCACATTTCTTCAAAATCCACCTTCTAATACTACCGGTCTTGGAGTACACTCTATATCTGTAAGTATTTTCTATTCAGTGAGGTAGAACAACTAGACGAACAAGCCATATCTAGGAGTCAAATACAAAGGCTGTTCTTACCTGTATAATGAAGGGTTAATGATTGTAGGCTGTATGATTATTATTGTCTTTATTTCCTCCAAAGATGAAGAGCATTACATACAAATTACAAAATAAATCAACTTGAAAGGCATACAATTAAGGTGGAAATTAATGTAGATGTTACAAATTATGATTATACATACAATATGTTAGTTTTATGTAATTTATACTCCGTGAAGAATTATCTTGCAAGTTATAATGTTATGAAATAATTACATACTAAGTATATATGTCACAATAATAGGTTTTAAGTGTATATAATACAGAAGGCCTCCTGGCGCACTATACGTAGCCATATAGTTCAAGCATCCTTTTTATAGAACATGGTGACTTCAGTCTAAATTGTTCAAAATCATGTTTGTCTAAATGATAGGCCAGAGGACCGCCTAGTAAAATGTGAAGCAATATATAATCTGGCAACGATTGTAAGTATGAAATAAATTCAATACTCGAAATAGACACAGTTTCGCACTATAAATCGTCACGTACAATTTCTGTTAATGAACAATGTAGAATTGCATGATTCACAATATCTGTATAAAAATATCCACAAAAATGACACAAAAATTGTGTCTTTGAGTTTCGTATGGAAACAATAAGTTTGATTACATAACGGATATTATCGAGAGAACTAGGGTGATACAGAGCTAGTTTCCACAAACTGGTTTTAAACAATCGTGCAGTAGTTTAAATCTTGTTAAAATCTGCATTGTTAGACATTCTTTGTAACCATGCATCTGTTTCATAGTCTTTTACAGAATTATAAGTCAGTTTCATCCAATGTGTTTTGTTTAGAAAAGTACCGTCATCCAGTAAAAGTTCGAAATGCTGGAATAAATTATACTTTTTGAGGATTCTGACAATATCTGGTATATAACCATTTTGTACATATTCTTTAATTGTATACAAAAAAAACATCTTACAATAAAAATTTTACTGGTCAAATTACTTCTTCTCATTCTACATATTCTACCGAGAAACACGTTTTTTAGTATCTATATATGCTTCTAATGATGTCCACCCAAGTAGAGAGGTACACATGTCAGTTCTTGCTGTGAAGTAGTATTTCGTTCTCGGAACAATTGTATAATGTAGAACAGAAATTCTTGATACACAACCAGTAGAAGGTTAGAGTGTGGCGTTACTATGACTACACGGTCACCTTCATCTTATAACACAACCAGTAGAAGGTTAGAGTGCGACGTTTTAATGACTACACAGTCACCTTCATCTTATAACACAACCAGTAAAAGATTCGAGTGTGACGTTTCAATGACTACACAGTCACCTTCATCTTATAACACAACCAGTAGAAGATTAGATTGTGACGTTTCGATGACTACACAGTCACCTCCATCTTAGAACACAACCAGTGGAAGGTTAGGGTGTGATGTTTCGATGACTATACGGTCACCTTCATCTTATAACACAACCAGTTGAAGGTTAGGGTGTGACGTTTCGATGACTATACGGTCACCTTCATCTTTTAACACAATCAGTAGAAGGTTAGAGTGTGATGTTTCGATGACTATACGGTCACCTTCATCTTAGAACACAACCAGTGGAAGGTTAGGGTGTGACGTTTCGATGACTATACGGTCACCTTCATCTTAGAACACAACCAGTAGAAGGTTAGAGTGTGACGTTCTAATGACTACACGGTCACCTTCATCTTACAACACAACCAATAGAAGGTTAGAGTGGGACGTTTTGATGACTTCACGGTCACCTTCATCTTAGAACACAACCAGTGGAAGGTTAGGGTGTGATGTTTCGATGACTATACGGTCACCTTCATCAGACAAACAACCAGCGTCAAACATACTAACACTGACGTACGTAGTGTACGAGATGGTAAGAATTCGACTGTACTATAAACCTATGTACACTAAGGTCGAGTTTTCTGGCCTATCCTGTGCTTCTTGTTGCATTCACATTGTAACATAAGATGAGATCTCCGTGTTGTTATCATCATGTCCGTTACATAAAGTTATTACGTCATTCTCATAAAATGAAATAAAACATAATAGTAATAAAATAAATAAAAAATAGAATAAAATGATTCACTTGGGCAGATTCTTAAAAACAAATTGAATTTAAAAAATTACCTCGGAGTTGGAAGGATTGTCGTGGTATAAAAGAGGATGGGTCATATTCAAATATAGATATGTTGACAGCTAGGCTTGAGATATACAGATGTGTAGCTATTTATAGACTAAGTACTGGTGTACGTGCAACATGTCAATGATACCATGGATTCCAGGGTTCCCAGAAAGGCGGAAAAGACGACTTAAAAATAACTTTAATGTGCTGATCAAGGGATGAAATGAAATCATGCTTACCTTGAAATAGGGCTGGCGAGATAATCAATATATTAGGAGCCAAAAAGGCACAAGATAGTGACAATGTACCATAGTCTGAATAGGATACTTGCTAACAATATTAGCACACATAAATAAAGTAATGAATTGATTGCAGTCACAATCACATATGTTTATCTTAATAACAGGTTGTAGTCATTAAATAGGGATAAGTCATGATTTCCACAGAGCAAAAAGATCCTTTTGCAAATAACGCATTATTGATGAAATCCTACATTTGATATCAATATTGGAACATGCATTTTAATTGCTTTAACATGCAAAAGAAAAAAAAAACCCATCTTCTTAAGGCATCATTTATATTTAGATTTAAGCCTGTATATAAATGTATTGAAATACAAGATTTTGACGTTGTCAAACCGTGGCCTTCTCAGTAAATCGTATATTGACTCATCTTGGTTTTTCTATTTTGAAAATCCTGAAAATTGTCATCGGATTTGGAATCTATAATGCATTTTGTCCTCTTTGTGAACTTACATGTGGTTGAAATGCTGGTTGTGTTTTAAGTAGCAATCATCTGATGATGAAAAAACCTGTTAACCATATAATATTATCAATTGGAAGATAATATCATTATTTCACAGATTATTACATTACAACACCCACACCACAGGTCATCAACACGTACTTTGTTGATGTACATCTGTATTCCTGGAGACCAGACTGATCATAAACTATTAATTAAGGCGTTTATTACATTATTTTTTAGCGAATGATATACAATATATAAAACACAAACTTTTCCTAAAATCGCATTTTGTTAAACAATATAGATTTTTTTACATTGTATGTGAATGTAGTGAATCATACGTTCTTGTAACTGTTTATTTCGAGACCGTTTTCCAAGCTTAATTTGCATCTTGTCTTTCGCTAACATATTCTTAAAATATCATATCTGTTTTTAGTTCTGTTTTGCAACTTAGCAAATTGTTACAAAACGACTTTACAGAGGCAATCACTAATTAAAACAGTGAAATTGACATAAAGTAGTTAGTTATTTGGAACACATGATTGGATTAGTAATTAGGCACTTTGTAATTATAAATAAGGTTATTAATGCGATCATCTTGTATTTAACACAGATAATTGGACACTCAGTGAAAACGTGCGATTTGACTTACGGTGACTAAAGCATAAACACGAACTCGCGGTAATGAAAATATTTAATTGTACACACACGGTGATTTAAATACCTAATTGGATCCACGATTAAAAACATCTGAGTTGCACCACACAATTATTAGTAATATGAATTGGGCTCAGGGTAGTTAAAACTTTTAAATAGAAACACGATATATGATGTCACATTATTTCATGTTCAGTATATTAAAACGTGACCAACGTTAAACGTGTGATGCAATTTATGTAATATCAAACTATGTGGACAAAACTATCTTATTGCAAATACGAAAAGATTGATTCAATAATGGTTTAATTTTAGTACAATCAAAATGTTTTAATTAGAGAAATTTTGAAGCAAATGAAAATATTCAACTAACTCTTAAGTATGAAATGATGCAATTATGATGATAATGAACCGTTTGAATGAGGTGTCACACAATTTTACCATTTAAATGACCAAGCGAGTACAGTTTTTATCTCCAATTAAGTGCTGACAAAAAGATAATTGTTGAGGTAAATTAGAACTATTTTATTATAATTATCAAACATTTAACCTGACAAAACTGATTTTATTGTATGTAATTAAGCTGCTCTTAATCTCGGCTACATATCTGATGTTAATTTGTAAATGTCACTGAACAATTCTAAAATATTTAGCTTTTTTATAAAAAAAAATAATTTACAATGTGGTGATGAATGAAAGAGTTAGTTTCATTTACACGATAATTGTGGTTATAAAACTATTTCACTTGTAGAGCGAGTTTGTAAGTAAAAAGCAGACGCTACTTGACGGGTTTAATTTATTACTGTTTATATATTTAGGGAATTGTCAGTACAGGTAATGTCACAACCACTCTACTGAAATATATCTACGTTACGTTGACTAGTACATGTAAATATCCTATATTCCTATAATTTATCATTAGATGTGGTATAATGTGAAATTTTTAAGTATATTTTTGTATTTTTGTTTGTAGAGAGTAGTAGTGAGAGAGCCAAGCTGATGTGTGTTCAGTCAACATAAAACATACTGTGAGAGTAGTTGTGAGAGAGCCATGCTGATGTGTGTTCAGTCAGCGTACAACATTCTGTGAATGTCTGATGATGTCATTGTGATGATACACCGTGCAATACAATAATTTACGGTCGTTTATGATCTCTTCCATTTTCATGAACATGGTCTCATCACAATTTCACCAAAACAGCAATATGATCTAACACATCCTTTTACATATTTACATAAACCGTAACAGGAAGAAACCCACGGTCTATACAACGTGTGACGTAGGTTAGGGAGAACAAACTGCGGTAATTTACTGACAGGTATAATATACACCTGTATAGTTAAAGCCCACCACTGAACAAACATTTTTCACTTTGTTTCTAACTCAAACATTTGATTGAACATATTTTCTTTTTAAAGATTAAGATGAGTACGTACACTTGGCAGAGTAAATAAGACTTCTTTGATGACAGGTTTTTTAGGGTGATCACATAAGTACGGTTTGGTAATTCTGTGTGAAAAACATTCTTTCCTGTCTGATACAACAATTATTCAGACATGCACGCACTAAAGCTTGCTTATCATTGTTGTACAACCTATTTAGAGCCAGGACCAATTAAGGAAAGCCTGCGTGGCCGGAGAAAAACTAACGCCCTACAGTCAGTACCTGGCGACTGTCCCACGTAGGTCTCGAACCCACAACCAAGAAGTGGAGGGTGATAAATACGGTCAAATACCTTAAACGCTCGACCAACGCAGTCCTTAAGGTTAGTAACATAGAACACAATGAAACACCGTCAACATAGCAAGATAACATCATATGTTAATGATGTATAATTTTACACGGGGAAATATAATAAGATGTGTGGAAATACTAATTAAGAGACATGCGAACTAAAGGAACGTTAGGTATATCAAAAACTTTTATTATCCCTATTGTAACACAAATACAAATATCTAACAGATAAGTTTGTAACCAGCAAAATTACAGGAAAATCAATATAAAAACTAAAACCAGTGATAAGGAAGGACAACGTTGTAACGTCAAAATTAAACGGTTGTAAAGTAAAGAATAATTTGAACACACTTGAGTGAAGTCAATATGAACTGTTAAACATTAAAAGGAAAACGAAAGCTATTTGAAGGTATCAGTGTTTACGTCACAACCGTATGATGTGGGAAGAGAACAAAAATAAACTGGAGTTTTTAAATTGTTGGGGAACACAACAGTAGTGATGGCGACATTGCGTCGTCGAGTTTTCTGGCCTATCCTGTGCTTCTTGTTGCATTCGCATTGTAACATAAGATGAGATCTCCGTGTTGTTATCATCATGTCCGTTACATAAAGTTATTACGTCATTCTCATAAAATGAAATAAAACATAATAGTAATAAAATAAATAAAAAATAGAATAAAATGATTCACTTGGGCAGATTCTTAAAAACAAATTGAATTTAAAAAATTACCTCGGAGTTGGAAGGATTGTCGTGGTATAAAAGAGGATGGGTCATATTCAAATATAGATATGTTGACAGCTAGGCTTGAGATATACAGATGTGTAGCTATTTATAGACTAAGTACTGGTGTACGTGCAACATGTCAATGATACCAGGGTTCTCAGAAAGGCGGAAAAGACGACTTAAAAATAACTTTAATGTGCTGATCAAGGGATATGAAATGAAATCCTGCTTACATTAGGGCTTGATGTGATTGCAAATAGATAAATAAGAAAATGAACAAATCAAAATTAGTCAAGTCTTTATTGATTATTCTTTTTTTTACATTTTCAATGAAATGAAATGGATTTCTTGTCGGGAGAGGAACATGTTGACAAAATAATTTAAAGATAGACACACATATTAAAACATTTTGAAAAACACTACAGCACAGCAAAGACAAATAATACTCCTATGTAATCAACCAGGTAAATTGTGATTGGAATCTTTCAGTGTGAAATGATCAGGACAAATGGTATCACAAATAAACATCCAACATTATTGAGATAAGTTAAAATTTGAAACTTCCCCTATTCCAATGACAGGAAGATATGTACAGAGAAAAGTATTAAAATTATATAGAGTCTACAAAACATCGAAATACGTTACATAATGTTTACAGATATACATGGATTATACAAAATCCTATCGTATTTGATACAAATATGTTAAGTTTTAAAATACAGCGGATATAAGGTAAAATGAAGAAGTGGCATTATTAACGAAACACAGGGTTTAATCAGTTGCCATGATGGTAACCAGAAAATAAATATCTGAAAATATATTTGAAGAATCGACTAAGTGCATCAGGGAAGGCGTTGACATCGACATCCTTTAACACAACATTTCGTCTACGATCTAGGTACCCAACCTCCCCAACGTACACCTTCCAGATCATCACGTTCGGACCACTTCTACCGGTAAAATCCATGGTATTCAGCAGGTACTTATGGAGTTTATTAACAGTAAACCAGAGGTATCCGTCGGTATCGAATGTCAAAATGTCGACGAAGTTCATGCACGTGTTGCTGGATAATATTTTAGAAACAGATTTCATCCTGACTCTTTGGACGAGCTTTCGCTGCATTTTTCTATCTCGATTTATATCCCACCTATATATCGAATTCGAACCAAGAGCAGGGAAATATAAATAGTTGTTTCTGCTATAAACCATTCCCGCTGCTTGTGAAGGCTTGTCACCAACCTTCCGCACAGACCTAGCAAATCTTCCCCGTGGGTTACGAGCAACACGTGTTGAGACCTGATACAAACTGTACCCTGATACGGGTCCAAAGTAGATATATCTCATGTCCGAGGACAATGCCATTCCATTTATACCGGCGGACACGGGTAGGGTTTCTCCCAGTATGGTGATGTTTCCATTGCCTGGCTCGGGTAACATGGACGGATGGGAGAAGAAGTGGGATCTGTTACGAATCCTATCGTACACAACCATCCGGAATGCGAGCGCGTCCGAGATGAAGGCGTATCTTGGACGCGATCCTGTGTACATAACGACGATGTCATTTAGGAATGTGATGTTACGGTCTGCTACATGATTGGGGAACTCGTGGCGGGTAATTTCTGCCATTTTGTTAATGTCATATATCACAATTTTGGCAGGACAGAGATTTTGCGCGGCTGTTCCATCAGCGGCGAAAAAGTTGATTCTGCCGGTATCGATGATCCACATCCAGCCAGTGTTTGGGTCTATCTCCATACTCTGGACATATTGAAGGGCCCGGCAATCTCCTATCTTCTGCATCTCCCAGCTAGGAAATGGTTGAAGAATCGACGTTCCGTTCCTAACAACGACTTTATTGAGCGTTGAAGGGACGCCTCGCCGCCATCTTGGAACAGTGACGAAAACATCGTTGTGATAAGTCTTCAATCCACTTATGATGTTGTTATGCGGAATGTAGTGTTCGTTTCCAAGTGCAAGTTCCCGTGTTGTGCTGTTAGGCCAAAGATAGTCTATTTCTGTAAATGCATGTATGATTCGTCGACTGTCACAGCGCGATGGCGGTTTGTCACTTGCCATGACAGAGAAGTTATTCATGATAACCAGGACTACTGGAAACCATATACCTAATAACATTTTCATTCTGAAATGCTGGTACAGTGCTGATAAAGTCCCTTAACAACTGACTTTATATAATACACCAATCCCTTCAAAATCCCATTACACAAGACGCACATGCCCTAAGGCACTGCCTGTGGTGTCCTTCCGGGCTTCAATTGTCGGTTCATTTTTATACGCATTTGGAAATTTTCTCATTGTCTACGTCACGCATAAATTGGAAGGAAAATAACATTACAATCGTGTGGAGCCCCTTATCTTAGGGAATGACTGTTGTTTACTTCATCATAATCCTTATTGCGTAACTAAAACTTCTCTCCATCCCACCTGCCTTTTCAAATTTATTTAGATCGATATGTTTTTGTGCCTCGTTAAAGGTGTGATTTAACAAGACTTTTTCTTTTTTGGTTTGAACGGAGACATTGCAGTAATAGTTGTGGTGATTGTTTTGAATGATATCAACATCGACACGTAATGTAAACGAAAGAAAGAAAGAAATACAAGCGCATGTGAGAAGGAATCGGATAAAGAGATGTATAGAACATTATCCTGTGTATTTCAGAAAGCATCCACATCATTGATGTATTGGAGGCACCTTAGTCTTACGATAATATTTGACTACACTTTACAAAGATATATTTACAAACAGCTTTTTATTGTTGACTTATCTATTTGTTCAACCAAACAATTGTCTAAGTTTATAAACACCATCCGTAGTGATAACAAATCAAGGCTACCGAATAATTGTGATTCAATTTACTCTGGAAGAGGAATTACTTCCAAAATGAAGGAAGGCCTTTCTTTTCTTGTTTTGAAAATTTCATTTTCAGAGAAAGTTGAATAAAGGTACAGACATATGTAGTGAATCATACTGAAGTTTTTTTTTCGTGAAAAGTAAGACCATATCAATTACAAAAGTGGAGAACGAAATAATCAAAATAATAGAAGTTCCTCTTGACAATATCTTAGTCGACTTTGATGGTAAGCTCTTCCTACAAATCGCTTAAAAATTGAATGTTTTTGATGAATTTGAGAGCCTTTACATATCTTTAGAGTATAGCAAATCATTTCAACTCACAATCACCCTCTTAAATACGTAAAAAAATACACACAAAAATAAAAAAAAAAAAAAAAAAAGCAAAAGCAAAAACAAAACAAAAGAACACAGATAGCTCATATTGACACACTTTTTTCCTTTAACGTTTAAATTTTAGGACATATCAGCAAATTACAAAATAAATTAATATAGGATTTTCCATGTCGCTTTTCTGATTAACGTAGAAGCAGCACTGAATGTTATGAAAGTCGAAGGGGACATGTCACAAAGAGGTTGCAAAATCCTCCAATTTCACTTTTAGATATATTGATGACGTCTTGTCTTTAAATAACAAGAAATTTATTGACCACATGCATCGTATATACCAACCAGAATTAGAAATCAAGGACACGACTTTCTCTTTTACATCAATCGTTTATCTCGATCTTTTCCTTTACAAAAAGCTGTGTAATAAGTGTGATTTTCCCATTTCTAGATTGCAACATTCTTTCGTCCCCATCTTATAGCGTTTACATGTTACAGTTGATTCGATATTCAAGCGCCTGCTCCCATTATTACCAAGCAAGAAGTCGTCACTGACAGACAAACTCGCTCACTGAGAAGTGTTTTGTGCGACATTAGGCTGGGCGCGTTTGATGCTTATTGGTTTCATTGTTGTATACCTTATTCTCATTTGAGAATGTAATATTACTTACTTGAAGTGACCAAGACTACCATTGTGGGTTTTGCCGATGAAGCAGAAGGCGTTTAATCTTATAGAACACATAAACTTCATCTCCGTATGCTTTTTCAGGAGTCTCCGCGAAAATCTGTCTTTTTGTTCATATTTTGCCGGAGTTTCATTAATTTGAGTGTGGGCTAAAGTTATGTTGATATTCTGGTATTTTCCTAATGGTTATTTTGACTATTGCAATTTTGTGTTGACTGGAAGTAATACATTTGCCGTAGCAAAAAGTAAATAACAAATAGCAATAGTACATGTACAATATATACAAAATACACAAGCATGCGATGTTATATATCAAGATAACACAAGCATGCGATGTTATATATCAAGATAACACAAGCATGCGATGTTATATATCAAGATAACACAAGCATGCGATGTTATATATCAAGATAACACAAGCATGCGATGTTATATATCAAGATAACACAAGTCGATTTTATTTTATCATGTTTTTGTCAGAAACGAAAAAAAAAGTTAAAGAGATAGAAATGATAGTATTTTACCTCGAACGATTAGGATATATCGTCTTCATTTCTGTTATTCTTTACACCTATAATTGTAGAGATCAGTTTTGTTAAGATAAGTTTTGTGAATATTAATTAATACATCTTCACTGAATGTGTGATGGGAGATAACTCTTATCACGATGCATGCTTCGATAAGCTGGTTGATAGGCTAGCTTTACATACGTGTAAAACCTAATTTCCATACGGAAGAAAAAAGGAATATTCTCCAATGTTGAGATATAGCAACCTGGCGTACAATGTAAATGGTAGATGTCTGTGATATCTTTACTAGAAATATGATCAAACATTCGCCAAATATGATCTGTAGGCATCACATAACGATTTTAATCATTAAACGATCGTATGCATATGATAATAAAAATATAATTATGTGATAGAAAAGTAAACACAAACAAAAATCAATAAATCAATGCATGCTGGCATATACACATTTATTAAAAAAACATATGACATACACGTTGTACAAGTCAACAAATCATGTGCAGTTATGTGGTGTACAGTGTTCCACTGCAGCTGAAACTCAAGGCGACCTCCTGGCGTTCACGTAAAGCATTGCTCGCACCTATATCCGTTTGTTCTAACGGCACCGGCCAGCACATGGAGCTGTAATCAATATGGACTGGCTGCAAGTAATTTAGATACAAGTTAAAAACGACAAAGAAATTACTGACATTTCACTAGAACCGTAATACAAAGTCCAGTTCGACGAAACTAGGACACTTTATGAACAAACGAAATATTTACACAGATACTCCATTTCTTTCTAATACAATACTTAGAATAACATGGTCTTCTGTAACCATGGTTACACACACAGGTTAGATACCACTTCACTTCATTTAATCCACAATGTCCTCCACACGGCACTCTTTAATTGTGAAAACAAACCCCGTCACAATGACATAAAAATAAAAAATCAATGTGAAAATGCAACACACAGCAATAACGCACACTACACTGAATCTTACAAACGTCTTGTTTGTCGTTTGTATGACCGACTATCATTTAACAGGCGAGTAAGAGTGTGTTTTATAGATATATATGAACATGATTTTGATATGATTTTTCATCAGTATGCTGCGGAAGTTGATAATGACCTGTAACTATAGCAATATGAAAATCTAGAAAGCGATTTCCAGATCATCCACATACAACCGAGCTAAAGCTGACTTACAAAGCAATACAGCGTTGATGACCAACCACTTCCCTCCTAACATGTAAAATATCTATAGCAACAAAACGTAATACCAAGCGACAATAGGCCCAACGAAATTCAGCTCCTAAAAGAACTGGTCTCATTTCTAAAAAAAACTGTCCAGTGACTGAATTATAATCGACTAGAACCATTCCAGGTGATTTAAAACTAAGAAAAAATATTATAAAACAAATTAGAATTAGGAAGACCTGTCGAGAAAGTACAGCATGAATCAAACGAAAATATGAAGTCGAAAAATTTTAAAGGATATACAAAATAATGGAACGTATCAAAATTAAAACCGATCTGGGAGTTACTGGCAACAGAGCAATCTACACACACGATCGTTTGCAATAAAAATATAGCTTCATTGAAAATGCTGTGAACCTAACGTGTTAAAATTGTGAAAGAGTAATTTTGAGCTCAATACCCACTATTAATAAAGATAACAAACCATTTGGAAATCAATAAAACCTGATAACATTGGTTTATGAGCTAATTGATTGCTCCTTACCAAGAGACAGAAAACCTGCTACGACCAATAAAAATGACAACACGAAATCTATTACGTTAGAAGTTAAGGAATAGGCATGTTACAAATCGAAAGGAATAAAAAAAATGAGCTGACAAGACAACATTACTCAAGGAAAAGAAGGTGTAGAGTCTCGAGACATCATGTAAGAATTCATATCCTAAATAGACACTAAGACATCGGACTAGACATTTAGACAGCAGGACTAGACACTAAGACAGCGGCTAGACACTTAGACAGCAGGACTAGACACTAAGACATCAGGATTAGATCCTTAGACAGCAGGACTAGATACTTAGACAACAGGGCAAGACACTAAGACAGCAGGACTAGACACTTAGACAGCAGGACTAGACACTTAGACAGCAGGACTAGACACTAAGACATCAGGGCTAGATACTTAGACAGCAGGACTAGACCCTTAGACAGCAGGACTAGACACTAAGACATCAGGGCTAGATACTTAGACAGCAGGACTAGACCCTTAGACAGCAGGGCTAGACACTTAGACAGCAGGGCTAGACACTTAGACAGCAGGACTAGATACTTAGTCAGCAGGACTAGATACTTAGACTGCAGGACTAGACACTTACACAACAGGAATAGACCCTTAGACAGCAGGATAGTACACGATAATCGAAGTCTGAGACTAAATGGGAAGATGAAAAAGTATGTCTAAATGAATAAAAAACAAAGAACTTTGACTGAAAAGTAATTTGAATAGCACTACCACTCATATGACGCCTCTTCAATATGTCCCGATAGCTGTGAGTAGGAAGTCAAAAGTATTCGTTACGCATGAGTGAGAAATTTGATAGGTGAACTGTCACGTGGTACATGTAACGCCCTATTGTTACTTCGACTGACCGTGCCCAGTATGTAAACAGTATTGTAGAAGGCAGACACTTCTCATAAGATTCCAGTTTTTCATGATATCCTGGACTGAAAGTGCAATATACACCTTTATCTAAACACTATATATCTTTATACAAAATCTGAGCAAATAATATTGTTTAAACCCAAATTGAATGATAACCCACATCGAAGGGTCGTGAGTTGGCGACATTCAATCAAACATGTACGTACATCTCCGAATACGCCATCGTGGTCAGAACAGCGGTTAGTATTAGGATATAACTTATTGATATATGACATGGAAAATGATTATACATGTGTGCTTTTATGATTTCATCTCGTCAGTTCCTGAAGTATATAATTGTATTTACCACGAACACATGACACTACTCAGTTCCATAAATGTGTAGGTATGTCAACAATTGTAACATAAACAAGAGAGTTATGCAGATATCCAGGACTAATTAGTAGAAGATTAGCAGTAATGCATATCGCTAAAGGAATTGGAGTGATGAAATTCGTGTTATTTTATCAAGTATGAATGTCGTTGTCACGTGCGTACTTTGACTGGCGGTACAGTAATGTTATGATAGTAATGACATACAAAATTCCAGATTTTGTTTTATATTTATGTATACATACGAACACAGGCGTCACTTTAAAATGATTTTAAACGTTATTTATTGAACACAGATGTGACCTGTAGTCTAGGTCAAAAAAGTGCATCGCTATCGTCATAATACATCATGTGATATCGTTTCCCATTCAATACGTGCATATCCACGTATATTCATCCGTCTAAGCCAAAGTGGACGAGACCAGCTTTCGCGGTCGTTTGTGTGTTGAGAGAGACCAGCTTTCGTGGTCGTTTGTGTACGGAGAGACCATCTTTCGCGGTCGTTTGTGTGTTGAGAGAGACCAGTCTTCGCGGTCGTTTGTGTGTTGCACGAGATCAGCTTTCGTGGTCGTTTGTGTGTTGAGAGACACCAGCTTTCGCGGTCGTTTGTGTGTTGAGAGAGATCAGCTTTCGCGGTCGTTTGTGTGTTGCACGAGATCAGCTTTCGTGGTCGTTTGTGTGTTGCACGAGATCAGCTTTCGTGGTCGTTTGTGTGTTGAGAGAGACCAGCTTTCGTGGTCGTTTGTGTGTTGAGAGAGACCAGCTTTCGCGGTCGTTTGTGTGTTGAAAGAGATCAGCCTTCGTGGTCGTTTGTGTACGGAGAGAGACCAGCTTTCACGGTCGTTTGTATGTTGAGAAACACCAGCTTTCGCGGTCGTTTGTATGTTGAGAGAGACCAGCATTCGCGGTCGTTTGTGTGTTGAGAGACACCAGCTTTCGCTGTCGTTTGAGTACGGAGAGAGACCAGCTTTCGCGGTCGTTTGTGTACGGAGAGAGACCAACATTCGCGGTCGTTTATGTACGGAGAGAGACCAGCTTTTGAGGACGTTTGTGTGTTGAGAGACACCAGCATTCGCGGTCGTTTGTGTGTTGAGAGACACCAGCTTTCGCGGTCGTTTGTGTACGGAGAGAGACCAGCTTTCGCGGTCGTTTGTGTGTTGAGACACACCAGCTTTCGCTGTCGTTTGAGTACGGAGAGAGACCAGCTTTCGCGGTCGTTTGTGTACGGAGAGAGACCAACATTCGCGGTCGTTTATGTACGGAGAGAGACCAGCTTTTGAGGACGTTTATGTACGGAGAGAGACCAACTTTCGCGGTCCTTTGTGTGTTGAGGGAGACCAGCTTTCGCGGTTGTTTGTGTACGGAGAGAGACCAACTTTCGCGGTCGTTTGTGTACGGAGAGAGACCAGCTTTATACATCGTTGCATCATTTTAGGCTGAAATATAAAAATTCGTGGCCAAAACCCTTTAATATGACGGAACAAGACCCATAGACAAAGTTTCTGAGAAAAAATTATTTGTGCATTTGCAAATTATTGAAATGTAAATTTGTATTTAAATACCTGATTGTAAACGGAGCACATCAAAGCGTTATTTTTCTGTTAAAGATGCATAATAAAATGTATTAGGAGTTTCACAATAGAAAGTCACGTTAGTGCATTGAACGCAGTTTTACCTTAATATACGTTTCTTCTGCGGCCTAGGTACCCGAGGTCACCAATGTAAACTTTCCAGATCATCACGTTAGGACCATCATATCCGGTAAAATCCATGGTATTCAGCAGGTACTTATGGAGTTTATTAACAGTAAACCAGAGGTATCCCTCGAGATCGAATGTCAAATTATCGATAAAGTTCATGCACGTGTTGCTGGATAATATCTTAGAAATAGATTTCATCCTCACTGTTTTGGCGGACCTCAGTTGCATCTTTTTATCTCGACCAATATCCCATTGGTATATCGCATTCAAACCGAGAACGGAGAAATACAAGATGTTACTTCTACTGTACACCATTCCTTCTGATTGTGACGGCTTGTCACCGACCTTCCGAACAGATCTCGCAAAGTTTCCATATGGCTTTCGTGCAACGCTTGAGGAGACTTGATACAAACTGTAACCTGAGAGAGGACCAAAATAAATGTACCTCATGTCCGAGGACAATGCCATTCCATTTATACCGGCGGACACGGGTAGGGTTTCTCCCAGTATGGTGATGTTTCCATTGCCTGGCTCGGGTAACATGGACGGATGGGAGAAGAAGTGTGATCTGTTACGAATCCTATCGTACACAACCATCCGGAATGCAAGGGTGTCCGAGATGAAGGCGTATCTTGGACGCGATCCTGTGTACATAACGACGATGTCATTTAGGAATGTGATGTTACGATCTGCTACATGATTGGGGAACTCGTGGCGGGTAATTTCTGCCATTTTGTTAATGTCATATATCACAATTTTGGCAGGACAGAGATTTTGCGCGGCTGTTCCATCAGCGGCGAAAAAGTTGATTCTGCCGGTATCGATGATCCACATCCAGCCAGTGTTTGGGTCTATCTCCATACTCTGGACATATTGAAGGGCGCGGCAATCTCCTATCTTCTGCATCTCCCAGCTAGGAAATGGTTGAAGAATCGACGTTCCGTTCCTAGCAACGATTTTATTGAGCGTTGAAGGGACGCCTCGCCGCCATCTTGGAACAGTGACGTAAACGTCGTTGCGATAAGTCTTCATTCCACTTATGATGTTGTTGTGCGGGATGTAGTGTTCGTTTCCAAGTGCAAGTTCCCGTGCTGTGCTGTTAGGCCAAAGGTAGTCTATTTTTGTAAATACATGCTTTATCCTTTCGTCATTACAGTTCTGTTGAAGTAAGATTCTTGACGAGACTGGTATTAAAACGAGACACATTGACAGCAATACATGTAAGGACGGATTCATTGTTGTTTCAGAGAGAAATGCGGTCATACATTAATCCACCAAAGTTATATAATGTTTTATTTTACCAAGTCATCATATTACATAAGCAATGCGTGGCCTACAGCCAAATCTGTGGTTTTATCATTTTCACTGTTATCCTTTGTTCTTTTATTACTTTTCCAGGAAAATCGGTCGTTATTTCGTTTGCTAAATTCTGATATGCGAAGTAGTGACCGACCATTACGTAACTATCAAATGATGATCTAAAACGTGACACTTTGATTTCTAGACAGTTTTTATTTGTAGATACCAATAATATATGTTAAAAATAAGTTGTAATGAGGGTAAAATTAAAGACAATATAAACATTTTGCATTTCTTTGTGCTAGATGAAGCTGGACGTGTTTGTTGGTCGTTAGTTTGCCTGCTGTTTTATACCTTGTTCTCATTTGAGAACGTGACATTTCTTACTTGGGTTGACAAGGTTTGTGGCGGGTGTCATTGATGAAGTAGAAGACGCTTACACTTTCAGAACACCTGGTCTTATTTTCTATTGTGCGTATTCAAGAGTCTAGTTTGATTGAATCTGAGTTTAGAGTAGGAATTCTATGTCGACCATTTGCAGGTCACTCTATTTGAAAAAGGTATTATATTCGGTTTTATACTAAAAGATATCACCATAGTCATTTTTCATTTGTGTCTAAGAAATGAGGTTCAGTTGGTGACTAGATAACTAAACTACAGAGTACCAACTTTAGTTTATACTAATACCTACTTAACCGGGCTGATTCTGTCAGTTATACACACATATAACTCATAAGGTGTCACTGTAATTTCCTCATTATGTTGATGTACCACGCTCGTTTTCACTGCATTAGTTACGAACCAACAGATATTGATATTTCCTGATAAAGACTGTACAAAGTATCTATACAAAGTATATCATTGCCTGTTTCCGAATGATTTAGACTTGTAGAATTGTAATACCTATGTACATGTTCCTTTTACTAGCCTAGATACAGTTTCTACGGTCAATAAGAAGCCGCCATGTCAGGATTAACAGATGACTATGTTAGCTGTACTGCCACATCTGTCCGGTATTAACATGACATTATTTGTTCAGGCTTATTGACTTGTATGTCATGATAATCTTAACATTGAGACAGTTCTTGTTTGAATTTATGACGCAAAGGTATCTCGCCTCGCTCTATTTCGGAAGCCGAATTTAAGCTTTCTCATCTATGGAATACTGTAAGTATATCATTCATTTAGAACTCATAAGAAATAGATTTGTTTACAGGAATACGACACATTGAAATCTACTGCTGATGAGACATTGTCAACAAAATACAATCCAATGTAATTAGTATTGCCTGATTTTAATGAACAGCGATAGGTATTGTCTGCATGTAATTGATGTTCCCTCCAATCCCCTAAACATCAGTATATGATGCATCTGATAATAGGATTGGTTGTACGATTCCAAGTTTGTGTTTAATTTCAATTACAATTGTTATTATGTCAGGGAAGAAAGCCCTCCATCACTTCACAAAAGGCAATTCCACCATAGTTTGTGAAGATAGTGTTTAACTTTTAGGTGTTGAGATAGATTTTTTTTATTGAAGTTTGATAACAAATCTTTTATTTGTAGACAAGCCTCCAAACAGTTAGCAGTTTTGAAGAGGATTGGGCATTTGTTTTATCTAAATCTGTTAAAATGTTAATTTACAAGAGTTTTGTATTGTCGAATTTTAATTACTGTCCCCTTGTTTAGCATTTCTACAGCGTCTCGGCAACCAGGGAAATGAAAAAGGTGCAAGAAAGGGGCTTGCGCTTTGTTTTTATACCTCTGACCTCAAAAAACTGCTAACAGATGCTAATACTTCTTTCCTGCATATTAATAGGATGAAGGTGATGGCTTGTGAAGTTTTTAAAATTTTTAAAGAGATTTCTCCTGACTTCATTTGCAGTCTGATATCTAAACAAGAAACTTTGTACACTTTCAGAGCAGAGGGTAAGGCACACATCCCAAGGGTAAACACCACCAGGTAGGGAAAGAATTCCTCCAGGTACGAGGCGTCCCGCATATGGAACAGTCTCCCGAATGATCTACGTAAGGTAGAGAACTACAAAGAATTCAGGAGACTGCTCCGTATAGGGGATGACCTGGAATGTAAGTGTTCTATGTGTGCTCGTATGTGAGTTTCCTCCCTTTGTTCAGTGTTGTTGCTACCTGTGTGCTTTATCTTCTATTTTCATTGTAGTGTTTTTATTGTGTGTCACAGTCCTAACCATTTTGTACATTTTATCTGTTTATATGTTATATTTCTATAGTGTGAGTGTGTTTATGAGTGAGTGAGTAAGGTGTGCTTAATTATGTTAGGAGATGTATCTTGTTATGTGTATATAGTGTAATAAACGTGTACATATTGTATTTTGGTTGTTTTAGCCATTCTTTGTAAGTCGCACTCGTCCAGGTTACAAAGTGCTTTTGCTTATTTTGTTTGTCTTCTTGCTTTGGTTTATAATCTGCGGTCTTATTTATTTACCATTTACAATCTTGACATTGCCAAAATGTTCTCTTTTAATTTGCACTTTATTAGCATATATGTATATTACACTTTCATAGAAGTGTTTTACTTCTTTTGTATCTAGAAATACCTGTATTTATTTAGTCTTATCTGATTACTTATTTTCTATGATATATAAAATGTGGTAACTTCTTTTTGTTTATAATCTGTGTATAAATTGCTAGTGACTGTGATACATATCCTCTGCTGCTTGTTGTTAATATGTTACATGCTCTTTGTTTCTATCATGTGATGTCGAAGTACAAGCTCACCAGCGCTTATGTTTACTGTTTGTAATATTCGACGTGAAATAAAGTTTCTTGTGTCTTGTACCACACGTAAACTCAGGTGTTAGTATCGATTACGATTGGCGATTCGTCACGCTCTAGTACATTTTAGCACGTGCGCTGTATATACTATGAACGAGAGTACTACCGTCACCCATACGGACACTGATGTGAGCACCTCGTCAGTTCTAGAATCGACATGTACAGTACTATATGGCAACACCATGAGCGAAAGATCGTCTGAAATTAGTAATGTGGACATTATCAGTATGATGATACATATGGACAACAGACTTAAACACATTGAAGAGCAGTCTCTTACTCTTTTGTCATCGCGTGTGGGTGATATAGAAGACAAATTCGCAACCTTAACTTGTCAAACTCGTGAGTTAGAGCACAGTACAGAGGTGATAAGTCAGTTGTTTGACACTATGAAGGTTAAAATTATTAGTTCAATAGAACAAAATAGAAGGCTTTATTGTGCTTTTATTGATTATAGCAAGGCTTTTGATAGTGTATCACACCAGATTGTGTGGTATATAACTATGGAAAAGCGGTATAAGAGGACGATTACTTAACGTAATTAAATCAATTTATAACAATGTACGTTCATGTGTGAAATTAAATGGTAAATGTCGATACAGAAAAAACAAAGATTGTTGTCTTTAGAAAAGGAAAATGACTTTTGTCTTTTGAAGGTTGGGCTTTTAATGGTAAATCTTTCGAAATAGTTGATAAATTTTGTTTTCTTGGTTTAGTTTTTAATTATAATGGAAGATTTACTGTTGCACAAGGTACATTAGCATCTCAAGGTAGAAAAGCATATTATCATTTGAAAAGGAAAATGAAAGATTTTACCCTTAATACGGAAACAACCATTTCATTATTCGATACATATGTTTCATGTATATTGAATTATGGATGTGAAGTATGGGATTATATTACATCGCCACAAATTGAAAAGATTCATCGTCCTTTTCTTAAAGACTTATTAAATATTAAGAAAAATGTTAATACTTCGATGGTTTACTTTGAAACTGGGAGATATTCTTTATATGTGCGACGAAAGATAGCTGTAATGAAATAGTGGCTGAAAATTTTAAATACAAGCAACTGTGTTTTGAAATCTTGTTACGATGCTTTAGTTGAATTGAATGTCAGAAAACCTAATTGTAAATCTAATTGGATTTATCAAATTAAGCATGAACTATGTAATTTGGGATTTAATCATACCTGATTAAACCAAAATAGATTTAATGAGAATACTTTTTTGCAAATGTACCCACAACGTGTGCATGACGTATTTATTCAAGAGTTACGCAGTGCTTTTGATGTATCTTCCAAATGTTATCTGTACAAACATCTTGTGGATATATTTGGTATTCAGTTTTGTCTTAGTAAGCCCATTAATGTTATATTAAAACAATGACTGAGTCAATTTCGCATGCAAGGACACAATCTTGAATCAGGTCGTTATAATAACATTCCCAGAAGTCAGAGAATTTGTACAGTTTGTGATCAAAATGATATCGAGGAAATACATTTTGTACTTTGTCCTTTGTCTGATTTAAGAAGTAAATACATTAAAAAGTACTATTATCGCCATCCAAGTGTCTATAAGCTAATAGAATTATTTTCCTGTAAAAGTGTGAAGGTTTTAAACACACTTGGTAAATGTCTTTTGCATGTTACAACTGAAAGAAAAACTCTCCTCGGTCAATAATTGTTATTATGTTGGAATATTTTCTGAAAAATTACTGTTGTTGGATTAAATGTAATAGACTTTTAATGTTCGTTAATTGCATACTGAAAAATACTTTAAATCAACGCTTCGTGTATTTTTGGATGATTTAGTTTCTGTAGTGGTGTTGCATTTGTGTTACCAAATTTCATAACGTCATGTTTATTGCTATGTTGTTGTTTGTTTTCGAATATTTGCTTCAGTATTTCTGTCATGCTGTAATGAATGAAACGTTTGTACATAATTATGTCTTGGAATGGATTTATCGTCCGCCATCTTGTACATAACTTAAGAATTTGACACAATTAGTTATGTATATTTGTATCCTATATGCTGTATTGCATTTACAATAAATAAACTTGTAAACCGTAGAAAAGCATTACATGAGTTAATGAACAACAATAAGATTCTCCTAATCTTTTAGGAATATTTTTATATATTGAAAAGGGCTCATTTATGGAAAAAAATATTCTGACTAAGAAAAAAGTCTGCAGTGCGTTCTTTCGATTGTTTTGTTCGATGACATTTTCAAATAGAAGTTTATATTATTTGTCGGAATAGACGCAATATTAATCTGGTATATAGAACCTGCTGCTATTGTCTCTAACCATTGTTTACTGTTATATTCGGTACATCCATGTAAACGTAATCAATATGGTAAATTTATGATAACTATGATTTTTCTTAGGAATGTTTGAACTTTCAGGCTTCTACTACAGACATGCGCCAGTTCATTCATCAACTTGAAGCTGTTGGTATATTCTATGCTATTTTAAAGTTATTTAATTCTATCTTACCGTTCAGATTCTCTTTCTTGTCAGAAGTATGTCTAATATTGTACAAAATATCTTTTCTGCTTTTGTTTCATGCTTGTTTCTTTATAACACAAACGCAGATTCCGTGCCTGCTGATATATATATATATATATACATATTTTATTAAACTAAGGTAAATATCGTCGATATAACATATAACGTCATTCAGGATTTAATAACGGCCACCTCCACTGTGGTCACATACACATCCGAGACTTCCGTATGGATTTCCGGTGTATCCAGTGTCACATGCACACCTGTTCGTGCTGTGGTCACAGTGAGAATGTGGGAATGATCCGCACCGTCCATCACATGGAACTGAAAACAACATAGACATTTAAGAAAATAAAGAAAAATGTAAGAATAGAGAAAATATGGTATAATTTGTGGAGTATGACTCTGTACAATTTCTATTCAAATACATTAAAATATTTGTTAGATACCGAAGAGAAAAAAAGTTAATTATGTATTATTTGAATAAACAATATTTAGTAAAAGAGTGGCCTTGAAAACTGAAATAAACATTGTGAAGCCAGTATTAAACGCAAGAAAAAAGACGTGTTATTCAAAAGACGGCAGTGCACAGTGAAAAGATTACCCTATGTAAAAAAATATGCTGTGAAAAATAAAGTATTAGAACTAATATCTAATGATACTCAAAAAATCTATATATAAATATTTCAGTGCCGCGTTTTTGTTTTTGCAAATGATATAAACGACACGTTGTATATATAACAAATAATCAGGTTTTATACTCACTTCCGCATTTCTTGGTTGGGTCGCCTACGAGGCCCTGGTTACATTTACATTCGTTGCTAGCTTTGTCACAATAGGCGTTGTACACACAAGCTCCGTTACAAGGTACTGTCAACAATGATAAATAGTATTGCTCGTAAGTATAGTGTAAAGGATAAGATAGATACTGGGTTTATCTTCGATGGTTTAACCAATATATCACCTAGGCAATTACTGTTTCAGTTTGGTTTTCAACTTTTCTATTCTTTCGAAATTCTTGAGTTGTGGAATTGACATGTACTGTATACCTGAAGTGATTTCAGTGGAAAAAAAGCGAAAAAATAACCGAAGGTATACACGTTATTGTATTTTCGAATCCAAAACAATGTGATGATAACATGATTATGTGTAAAATGTCTGATAAGTAACAAATTACTTACGGGAGCATGTTCCCCGATACAAGAAGTACCCTGAGTTACAGATACATTGGTTGGAGCCTAGGTTACAGTAGGCATTGGGTCCACAGGGGCCGCCGCATGGCACTGTTTATGACAACGGAAATTCGATTAATTACTACTTTCTTGAAATCAATTTTGTTGGTCGCTTGGACCCTTCTAGTTGTTTAGGATATTACAAGGCAGTTTGGAACTACACCGTGAGGTTTAGCTCAGTGAAAACTTGTTTTCAAATACAATGTCCATTTTGTTCTTTTTCTTGAAAGAAATAGTAAAATTATACAAATCTGTTGCAGATGTAACTGACTATGTTTAGGTATCAATATATTGACAATGTAGGTAGGCACGTGAAATGATTGAAATCACATAAATGAAACCATAACAAATGTATGACGTAGTGGTATTTACAAGAGCATGGTCCACCGTGATATCTCTTGTACCCTGGGTTACACATGCACTGATTAGATACACTGTCACAAGATTCATTCGGTCCACATTGTCCCCCACAAGGTACTGTAAATAGTTAAACGTAAAGCAATTAATTTTAGCAGTCTTAACATTCAACATTAGCTGCATATCATGATAATACACTGATGGAAACGGGCCAAACCTTATAACAACAAACATGTATTATCATGCTAAAGTTTCCTTGGTCGTACATGTATTCTATCCAACTAAAGACCTAAATGGATATTTATCACTTTTCCTGTATTAGACTGAAATCACACAACTAATATATTTTAGATTACACGTATTTCTTTCGTCACCTTATCTTCATTACTTACGAGCACATGACCCGTGGTAGAGGACGTATCCTGTGTTACAGACACACTGATTGCTGGCTTTGTTACAATAGGCATTAGGTCCACATGCTCCACCACACGGTACTATAAATTATACGAAAATATGTTTTGAAATTGTTTCCCCTGCTAAAAGATGTTTTTTTTGATAAATATGATCTTTATCTGTGATCATTGCTATGAGTACTTAATACATACGAGTACACGATCCATGATAGAGGAAGTATCCTGTGTTACAGACACACTGGTTTGTTCCTTTGTTACAGTAAGCGTTTGGTCCACAAGGTCCTCCACATGGAACTGTCAAAGAAGGGATTGATTTTTCAAAATTGATCTTTATTCTAGAAACATGCTTGGTTTTTTATATTGATTTCGCTTTTATGTATGTATAACTACTCTGAGATAAAAAAAAATACGTACGGGTACAAGATCCGTGGTACAGAACGTATCCCGTGTTACAGACACACTGGTTTCTGCCCTTGTCGCAATAGGCGTTAGGTCCACATTGTCCTCCACAGGGTACTATAAACAGTTAACAGATGATAGATACATATTTGTTTTGTATCTAACTGGTAACGTTTGTACAGGAAATGATATATATTGTTTTCGGCACCATACATTTCAATTAGCCTTAATAAATGCATTAATACATATTTCTTTACCAACAATTGTAACTCAAATGGCATCTATAGAAAAACTTACCGACGCAAGACCCATGGTACACCATGTATCCCTGGTTACAGACACACTTGTTTGAATTACGGTCACAATAGGAATTAGGTCCGCAGGGTCCTCCACAAGGCACTGTCAAAGGCATACATAGAACCATTACGTTCATTCATATTTCTAATGATTGAGTGCATGGTAAATTCTGAAGAGCATCTTTGGTATCTTTGCTTTAAGACTTTGTAAAACTCTACGTGAAATCATTTAATTGAACCAATTAACTATTGGTACGATAATGACTAGTGTAATGAAAGGCTGGACGGAGTGATTCCGGCCAATTTTCAGCATATCATGAACGATACAGTGGTTATATTATGCTGCTGCCCTCATCAGTTCCTATTTCTTTTATTTTACCTTTTGTTTATACATATTAAACAGAAGTCATTGTTATCTTCTGGTTCTTGTTTTATATGTTACGCAGCAAGTACAAGCTTCAGTCTCTGAATGTGTTACCTCTCTTTCATAGTGAATATTGTTATGAAAGACAATGGGACATTATATCATTACCATGGTATCCATTTACATACACAGTAAAAATGTTCTCAGTGATAACAGTCATTCATTGGCTGTTGCCTCGGCATAGATGCAAATTATCTTCCAACTATTTTAATGAATAGTTTATACGTACAAGTACAAGATCCGTGGTAAAGAACGTATCCCGTGTTGCAGACACACTGGTTGGACCCTTTGTTACAGTAAGCGTTAGGCCCACATGGTCCTCCGCATGGCACTATGAAATAGAAGGTTGATATAATATAATATCATTGTTTGAAGAAACACATACAATATCGAACCTCGGGTGAGATGTTTTTTTAGGCTCAGAATCAAATTCAAGATCATTTCCTTTATCATTAAGACTGCATAAAATGCAGCATAAATGTGAGATTGCTGTAGATGTAGCAAAAACGCGATTTCTGAAGACATTCAATAAAGGTGTATTATAAAAGTGTGATTGCTAGACATGTACCACAAAATAAAGATGTTGCTACTGGAGATGTGCCGTAATGGCATCACAGGAAGACATGTACAATAAAGTAATTAGGAAGATGTAACAATATCTCCTTTTTTTGTGTTTCAAATTTACAAATACGAGCACCAACCGCAATAATATAATCACACAAGCTTCAAAAACACCATCATCTTTAGGTTTTGCATTCATGAAAAACTAATATATGGGAAAACATATAATACACAGTTGCACTTTAATCACGTTATGACCACATAAACATCTCTACATACCATGAACAGCGTTTTGCATTTAAATGGGCGTTTACAGAATGATCAAAAATTCTGATAGAATTTCAAAATGGATACGTACGAGTACAAGATCCGTGGTAGAGGAAGTATCCTGTGTTACAGACACACTGGTTGCTGGCTTTGTCACAGCGAGCGTTAGGTCCGCATGGTCCTCCACAAGGCACTGTAAATAATAGATAAATAATAAAATTATCTTAAATGAAAAAGAAGCTATTTTGTAATCAGTTGTAAAGTCGCATAAATTATCGTGGCAGAGAACACAACCTGTGTTACATAGACACACTATTTTCTTATATTTTCAGCGAACGTTAGGTCAACATTGTTATCCGCATAGCACGCCAGAAACTATGATGAATAAGTTACGAAAGCAAATTAGAAACTGGGTTGAAAATACTAAAAAATAACCTAATGGTAGGGATACTTACAGACGCATGATCCGTGGTAGAGGAAGTATCCTGTGTTACAGACACACTGGTTGCTTGCTTTGTCACAACGAGCGTTAGGTCCACATGGTCCTCCACATGGACCTTTAAAAAAATAGTTATATTGATCAAATATGCATAACAGCTGTGGTAAATGATTGCTGTTGTCAGGTTTTCATTTTTTGGGCACATGAAAAGACTGCCCTAAACACAGCGTGCTAATGTAGTCATATTGTTAACGTGCTTTTTTCCGGTATATCTTATCGTCAAGTTAAATTTGATTTAAGCATGCATTATCTGAAGAAATGTCAGTAAGGTCATTTTTAAATAGTTCTCTGTACCTCAATACGTCCAGCTTTATCATTTGTTAATTGTGATTGTCTTCTGGCTCGCAGCCGTCTCCAATAAATAGATACAGAAAGGAAGAAAATAAGAAGTGCGGAGAAAATACTCTTTAGGAGATATAAAGAAGAATCCGATAATTTTCTTACGGGTGCAAGATCCCTGGAAAAGAACGTATCCTGAATTACAAACACACTGGTTTGAGCTCTTGTCACATCGAGCGTTAGGTCCACATGGGCCACCACATGGTACTGTAAAACAAAAATATATAGTCATAGAGATATGCTGACTGGTATATGGTATGACTAAATACAAATGTGAATCGTGAACAATTGCAGATAATATCAATTTTTTTCAACAGCAACCATAACACACATACATAAAAATGTCTGGTAAACAAAGATGTAACACTTACGGGTACATGATCCGTGGTAGAGGACGAATCCTGTGTTACAGACACATTGGTTCCTGACTTTATCACAATAGGCGTTAGATCCACAATGTCCACCACACGGCACTGTAAAAAAGACACATTAAGTATCAAATAAGAAATTCAATGCGTGGTGCTTTTTCTAAATTTTGTCTCCATATATCATTATTGAACAATGATACATTTTCTAATATATCTTTATTTAAAGTCATATTCAAGGAGAGTTTAATATTGTCACAACATACCCATGAATTGTAGCAAGTATTTATGAAGACTCTTATAACGCAGAAGATTGACTTTCAGACATCTACGACCAAGTGTTCAACAAGCGAAGGCGAATTGAATGCAGTTCATCACATTCAAAACTTCTACTGGTTGTGTTCTGTTTCAGAGGTGATAACATTCAGTTTTGACAGCAATAATTATAATTGAGCTCACGATGAATTGATAAGATAGATTGTAGGACGTAACACATGTCAGTGTAGAAATAAGAGGTCTTGTACATGTATTTCTCGAGAACTGTTCATCTCGTGTTCAACCAGTGTACAATTAGTGTACATATAGTGTTCAACAAGTGTTCAACTAGTGTACAAAAGTGTTCAACGGAGTTTCGTATTATTATACTTCAGTACTAGCACTTACAGACACATGATCCATGGTACACCATGTATCCTTGGTTACAGACACATTTGTTCAAGTTACGGTCACAATAGGAGTTTGATCCACATGATCCCCCACAAGGCACTGGAACAAATCATCAATGATACTATACAATGAACATGTTTTGAACAATATTTAAGAATTACTATGACTGATTCAGCTTTATACTGTACATAACGCCGTTTAACATTTCTTACGAGTACACGATCCGTGATAGAGGACGTATCCTGTGTTACAGACACACTGGTTGGTTGAGCGATCACATCGTGAGTTTGGTCCACATTGTCCTCCACAAGGCACTGGAACACACCATCGTCGAGAAAATATAAAATCAAACATATGAACGACACAATGTGTAAATGGAACGTGCTCTTTTTTGTGTGCTTTTATAGAATCTTCGAGATGGCAGGTGGAAGAGACACTGCTGTTTAAGTTTTAGTGTCAGAAAATAATTCAAGCAAATTGTAGTATTGTTCAGTAAATACACGTAAGAACTTCATAATATTCTGAAATTATCAGATGTACGAAAATTGCGAAAACGATTGAATTATTGGACAAGAGCATCTCCCGATCTCTACATTTTGACGTAAAGGTATTATTTCACATTACTTACAAGTACACGATCCGTGATAGAGGACGTATCCTGTGTTACAGACACACTGATTGGTTGAGCGATCACATCGGGAGTTTGGTCCACATTGTCCTCCACAAGGCACTATATTATAACCACAATCAACATTATTCAAGCGTTTGTAAACTAGTATGTAGACAATAACTGTTATTCGCTCAGCTCTTTTAGGTACTTAGGAGTTAATAAGTGCAGTTTACTGTATCTTTGGGTTGCCCATGCTTGCAATCAGTGACGGGTATTTGTTTACAGACAGTGCTTATGCAATACTAATTACCTACTATGTCAGAATTATTGATATCAGCGACATCACTTTTGCTGGGAGAGGTGGACGTATAAAGTGAAAATTGTGATTGCTATTTCAATGCAGCGGACCTTATGAATATGTTAAGCATACTTACTGGAAACTAAGGACAATTTAAACATGGCGATACAAAATATTGTAGCTGTCTTCCGATACCGGGAAATATTACTTCTTTACCATGTTTGAAATAACTTGCTCTTCAAGGTATGTAAAGATATATAAGTTGAGAACTATTTATGAAACATTAGTATCTGTGAGACATATCACCATCTTATTAATAAGATCCGATATAATTATCCAAACAAAGGTCTTCGTACTACTCACAAGTGCAGGATCCCTTGAACAGTACGTAACCTTGGTTACAGACGCACTGGTTGGTAACCTTGTCACAGCGGGCGTTGGGTCCACATGATCCTCCGCATGGCACTAGACGCAAATGATGAAATCGAAGTTTTTAACTAAGAAATACAATTGAATTGGAATAGATCATAAATAATTTACATTTAAAAAAAAAATTTCTATCCATTTTCAGTCGTATGTCAATATTTCTGATAGCAAAGGCAGTCAGTATACTCACGGACACATGAACCATGATAAAGGTAATATCCCGTGTTACAGACGCACTGGTTCCTACTCTTATCACAATAGGCGTTAGATCCACAATGTCCTCCACAGGGAACTAATAGCAAATAAAGATTCAGAGGTGAAGTGCATGAACACATCTGTATTTAGAGAAAGGTAATTTCGTCTCATAATTCAGAAATCATATCACTAGAATTTCTTGATTCCCGCGTGAGGGCTACGTTAATAAGTAATTACGACGAAATGGATATCTATTTAAAAGTTACATCTGGTGAGATTGGGTTCAATGTTAAGTAATTTTAATGTCTTGAAAATAAAACGGAAATAAGGAAAATTATATTCGTGTATGAATTTGAGTAAAGTTTATTGTCAGATATAGATATGTCACTGTGTATTTTTGTTCGACTAATATAAGGCTGATAGGACAGGTAACAATGGATGTAACACATAAGATATAGAGCTGCTATCAAAAGGAAATAAAACATGTTTGACGGAATTTTGGGTTACTTACGGGTGCAAGATCCCTTGAACAGTACGTATCCTTGGTTACAGACACACTGATTGGAAACCTTGTCACAGCGAGCGTTAGGTCCACAAGGTCCTCCGCATGGCACTGTAAGTATTGTCATATCAGCATTGTCATTTTACATCGGCAAATCTAACGTCATCATTTAATTACTAATAGCATCAACAATTTTAAAGTTATTCCGATGTTAAAGTACTTTCCCTGAGTACATCTATGAATTTTAGGAAATATTTCATTAACTTGTATGAATAATCATTACAAATTGTACATTCGTCACAAGTGAGTCTTGACTGGATGAGTCACTTTCTTTGATTTTAGCCCATAAAAAATAATTTGGTTTCTTAACATTGGAAAATGGACTTTTGGTTTTAATTATGAAAATCATCCATTAATACATCTCTGTTAAAGCTGATCATATTTTCAAACAGCGATATATTTCATAATATTGTCAACTGTAGGATGGAATGGTTGACGTGATGAAAATCAGACTACTAGATTTATCGTATTACTTTTCTCTGTTTTGAAAACAAATGACTACGGAACTTTATTACTAAGCAGATTTTGAAGCCTTTTGTGAAAAACGGAGCAAATATTTGCGTTTAAATCACTGTCCTATAAGAAGCCTTACAAAAGTCCTGATCAGAACAGAAGTTGTTATTTCAGAACTTTTGGCTACCTGATATTTTGTTGATTGAAGTTACATTTTAGAACTTATCTGATATGAATCAGACAGTATACTTACAGACACATGATCCATGATAAAGGTAATATCCTGTGTTACAGACACACTGGTTTCTGACTTTGTCGCAATAGGCGTTAGATCCACAACGTCCTCCGCAAGGAACTGTGATAAAAAGATCAATACATATCAACATATCTTTGATTAATTGTCCAGTTATGGGGAAATAGTTATCTTATATCTTTGAAACCGCTTTCTGTCACAGCCTAATGGTGATTTGACATAATATTTATAAACAAAAATATGGAAACTATTGAAATAGATCTAAACACTACTCACTTGTACATGATCCATGGTAGAGGACGTATCCTGTGTTACAGACACACTGATTGGATGACTGATCACAACGAGCGTTTGGTCCGCATGGTCCTCCACATGGACCTTTAAAAAATAGTTATATTGATCAAATATTAGGATAAAACAGTCTGTTCCTGCGATGATAGAAGTAAGGTACATGCTCGTACATCTTAATATCATCATCTATTATCATCATCAATTAATGAAGACATGCCATTGAACCTCGAGATTTGCTTTAACCTGTACGCCACGTTTTTTATTCATTTAAACAGTAGTCCAGAATATTTGACGATGTTATGAAATTATTAGATATATAAAAAAATTGACTTTTCATTCGATCATTTTGGATTTTCCTTAGTCGCCTCCAGTCCTTAAAAATTTAGTAACTTGATGAAGTGACTGAATGAAGTAAGAGATTAACTGATTTCGGGGCATCCCTAACAGTACTAGTTTGTGTCTCCGATGGTTGCAGCGGATTTAGTTAAGAGATATCGGGGTGTCATATAATACGGTCTGACTGTAATCCGATTCATAGTCGGGAGAAGTCACTTAAATGAACTCATTGTAACAAAAAAAAATTTCTACCAAGAAGACTTCAAAAATAGATATGCTGTCCCCGTTACAACACTGAATATGTCGCCTGGTTTTCATTTTTGGTATTCCTTATGTTCATAAACATCCCCCACTTCGTCGACGACATCCAAAATCCAGGACTAGCAAAATAATGTCTCGTCCTCAAATCTAGAATGTGCCAATAACATAAAATAGAAAAATGTGCCAAACATCAAGGAAACATGTCATACTAGCCTAACCAGCGTATATGCTTATTGTGCATAATACAATTGTTTGTCTTAATTAACAGAGATTTGTTACTTACGGGTACAAGATCCATGATACAGGACATATCCTGTGTTACAGACACACTGGTTTCTGACTTTGTCACAACGAGCGTTAGGTCCGCATGGTCCTCCGCAAGGCACTATAAATAAAAGAAAAACAATAAAAAATATCTTATCTGATTAAAGAAGCTATTTTGTAAACAGTTGTAAAATTTGTATAAATTATAGTGGCAGAGAACACAACCTGTGTTACATAGATACAATATTTTCATCATCAGCGAACGTTAGATCCACCTTGTCTCCCGTACAGCACGCCAAAAACGATGATGAATTAGTTACAAAAACAAATTCGAAACTGGATTGAAATTTAATAAGACATTACTATTCTCATGGTAGGGATACTTACAGACGCATGATTCGTGGTAGAGGAAGTATCCTGTGTTACAGACACACTGGTTGCTAGCCTTGTCACAACGAGCGTTTGGTCCACATGGTCCTCCACATGGACCTTTAAAAATATGGTTACATTGATCAAATATTAAGATGAAAACAGTCTATTCCTGAGATGATGGAAGCAAGGTACAGGCTAGTACATCTTAATGTCGTCATCTATTATCATCATCATCAATAAATTAAGACATTACATTGAACCTCGAGGTTTGCTTTAACCTGGACGTTTGAATTCATTTGAATAATGGTCCGGTCCAAAATATATACATGTACTTGACGATGTTATAAAATTATCATATATATGAAAATGTATTTAATGATGGGGCTATTGCACCTTCTCATTTAGATTTTAACTTTTCATTCGATCACTTCGGATTTTCCTTAGTCGCCTCCAGTGCTTAAAACAATAGTAACTTGATTTTAAAAAATCTAACTTCTTGAAGTAAGAGATAACTAATTTAGGAGCATCTCCAACAGTACGAGGTTTTTGTCTTCGATGTTGCAGCGGATTCATTTAAGAGTTGTCGGGGTGTCATACAATACGGTCTGACTGAAATCTGCTTCATGGTCGGGAGAAATCACTTAAATCAATTTATTGTAAAAATGTTTTTTGTTTTCTACCAAGAAGACTTCAAAAATAGATATGCTGTCCCCGTTACAACACTGAATATGTCGCCTGGTTTTCATTTTGGGTATTTCTTATGTTTGTAAACATCCCCCACTTCGTCGACGACATCCAAAATCCAGGACTAGCAAAATGATGTCTCGTCCTCAAATCTAGAATGTGCCAATAACATCAAATAGAAAAAAAATGTGCCAAACAACAAGGAAACATGTCATACTAGCCTAACCAGCGTATATGCTTATTGTGCATAATAAAATTGTTTGTCTTAATTAACAGGGATTTGTTACTTACGGGTACAAGATCCATGATACAGGACATATCCTGTGTTACAGACACACTGGTTTCTGACTTTGTCACAACGAGCGTTAGGTCCGCATGGTCCTCCGCAAGGCACTATAAATAAAAGATAAACAATAAAAGATATCCTACCTGATTAAAGAAGCTATTATGTAAACAATTGTAAAATTTGTATAAATCATAGTGGCAGAGAACACAACCTGTGTTACATAGATACAATATTTTCATCATCAGCGAACGTTAGATCCACCTTGTCTCCTGTACAGCACGCCAAAAACGATGATGAATTAGTTAAAAAAGAAACTGGATTGAAATTTAATAAGACATTACTATTCTCATGGTAGGGATACTTACAGACGCATGATCCGTGGTAAAGAAAGTATCCTGTGTTACAGACACACTGGTTGCTAGCTTTGTCACAACGAGCGTTTGGTCCGCATGGTCCTCCACATGGACCTTTAAAAATATGGTTACATTTATCAAATATTAGGATGAAAACAGTCTGTTCCTGAGATGATGGAAGCAAGGTACATGCTTGTACATCTTAATATCATCATCAATTTCCATCATCAATTAATGAAGACATTACATTGAACCTCGAGGTTTGCTTTAACCTGGACGTTTGAATTCATTTGAATAATGGTCCGGTCCAAAATATATACATGTACCTGACGATGTTATAAAATTATCATATATATGAAAATGTATTTAATAATGGGGCTAGTGCACCTTCTCATTTAGATTTTAACTTTTCATTCGATCACTTCGGATTTTCCTTAGTCGCCTCCAGTGCTTAAAACAATAGTAACTTGATTTTAAAAAATCTAACTTCTTGAAGTAAGAGATAACTAATTTAGGAGCATCTCCAACAGTACGAGGTTTTTGTCTTCGATGTTGCAGCGGATTCATTTAAGAGTTGTCGGGGTGTCATACAATACGGTCTGACTGAAATCTGCTTCATGGTCGGGAGAAATCACTTAAATCAATTTATTGTAAAAATGTTTTTTGTTTTCTACCAAGAAGACTTCAAAAATAGATATGCTGTCCCCGTTACAACACTGAATATGTCGCCTGGTTTTCATTTTTGGTATTCCTTATGTTTGAACACAACCTGTTTTACATAGACACAGTATTTACTTATATTATCAGCGAACGTCAGGTCAACATTGTCTTCCTAACAGCATGCCAAAACTAACATGAATTAGTTACGAAAGCAATTTAGAAACTGGATTGAAATTGACAAAAGATATTCACATAATAAGGATACTTACGGACGCATGAACCGTGGTAAAGGAAATATCCCGTGTTACAGACACACTGGTTGCTAGCTTTGTCACAACGAGCGTTAGGTCCACAAGGTCCGCCACATGGCACTGTAGATAATGTCAAAAAAAAAAAAATCATAATGTCTGCAATAATTAAACGAGGGCTGATTTACGAGTTGTGCGCCTTTTATTGAAGATGTTAAGCAGGGATGTCTTTTTGCAGCTCTATTATTCCCTGACTATTTAAGGCTGTGTTCCCGAAGACTGGTATCATTTGGTCAGTTTATGTCGAAGAGGTAGCCGTCCAAAACAAACATGGCATGTGATAATTGAAAAATGGACAAATTTGCTGAAGGAGCAGCGATTCAATATTTGTATAAGAAAGGTCTAGCACCTAATGATATCCATACTGATATGGTGCAAACTATGGAATGATGCCCGTTCATTCGCTACAGTGAAAAGATAGATGGAAGAATTTATGCGTGGCAGGAAGAGCCTTGAGAATGAAACCCATCCTGGAACGCCTGTTACTGTTGCAACCCCCGAAATGGTCAATGAAGTCCATGATATTGTTATGGCTGACAGAAGAGTTACAGAGAGATAAATAAGCTGTACTCTTGGGATTTCACAGGAAAGAGTACACTCCATTCTTACGAAAGATCTTGCAATGATAAATGTCTCAGCCCATTGGGTACCAAGACTTCTAACATTTGATCAGAAGCACGATACGGACATTGTCGCGTGCTAATATCAACCTTAAAGCTCCTGCAGAGGTTTATGTCTATGGATGGAAGGCATACAACAAAGAAGGCAAATATTGTTTCATCAGCTGGAAAGGTTATGGTCTCGCGTTGCAAAAGGGACAAACAATACATGGCACATATTATGCATCACTTCTTTGGCAGTTAAGAGGAAATGTTATATTCAAGCGCCACGGAAAACTCAGTAAAGGTGTGTTGTTCCACTAGGAAAATGCCCCTTTCCATATGCCATGGCTGCCACTAGCGACTGTGGCTTTGAACTGATTGAGCATTCGCCTTCTCCGCCTGATTTCGATCCATCAGGCTTTCACTTATTTCAAAAATTGAAAAACGCCATTTTCGGTAACGAGTTTCGGTCAGACGATGACGTCATAGATAGATTGGAGGTCTTTCTGAGCAGTCAAGAAAAGCACTTCTTTAAAGTTGGCACTAAGGCCCTTAAACATCGCTGGCAAAAGTGTATAGATACTGAAGGGGATTATGTTGAAAAATAATTCAATATGCCCTTCAAATTCAAACCCTTAGATATAAGGCTAACATCTTATCAGTCAGTTCTTGAAGTATCTAATTTTCAGTTAGTTAGTTAGTAAAGCTTGCATAAATAACACTCTTACAGATGCCAGATATCTTGTACTTGTGTAAGAGTTTAAACAGATTTATTTACATAAAATACATATAAACAATCAATGAGGGGCACACAGATCCCTGTTACCAAACTACCGCTCACGAAGATCCGGAAGATTGGCCAAATGTTCAGATTTGACACACAAGTTTGTTGGTTGATAGATTTCACAGGACAAACGTACCTCTCCCAGTAAGAGAGTCACAATCACGGGCAGTAACTCTGCCCGAAATTCCCAAAACTTGTTATAGACAGTCTGGTTCCTGACTTTGTGACAGTAAATATTCAGACCTGAGAATTCTTCAAATCATAAACATTTTAACCGAAGTGTCGTCCTAGTTACTCTGAAAAGCTGAACATGATTGATATATATATCTAGCTCTAGACTTCTTCCATGCAACAAGGAAAAATATTTGACAATGAATGCTACCTTTTTCCAGCCATGGTAAGTAACCTTTGTGTTTCTGATAACTGGTTGATTGAGTTATCCTTTCGCATTGAAGTGTGAAGGATTTGTTTTGCAGTGAGCAAACATTTGATATGGATTTTTTGTTTACGAGACACAAGTATATGCAAATAATGCTGGTCGCTTCTTCTTGGTCACATCTAGCTAAATATTCACGACCGTTTCGTAAGGTGGACGGGAGGAAATTTCAAAGAAGGAAAAACAGATGTAATGGTTGCAATGGGATCATTAAAAGGATTGTTTTTGAGACGGCGATCTGAAAGAAAACCTGACATGATTGAATCGGACATAATTTATCGTTATTCTAGTTTTGTATTTCTTACGAGTGCAAGATCCGTGGTAGAGGAAGTATCCTGTGTTGCAGACACACTGGTTGCTGGCTTTGTCACAGCGAGCGTTAGGTCCGCATGGTCCTCCACAAGGCACTGTAAATAATAGACAAATAATAAAATTATCTTTTATGAAAAAGAAGCTATTTTGTTATCAATCGTAAATTGCATAAATTATCGTGGCAGAGAACACAACCTGTGTTACATAGACACACTATTTTCTTATATTTTCAGCGAACGTTAGGTTAACATTGTTATCCGCATAGCACGCCAGAAACTATGATGAATAAGTTACGAAAGCAAATTAGAAACTGGGTTGAAAATACTAAAAAATAACCTAATGGTAGGGATACTTACAGACGCATGATCCGTGGTAGAGGAAGTATCCTGTGTTACAGACACACTGGTTGCTAGCTTTGTCACAACGAGCGTAAGGTCCGCATGGTCCCCCACATGGCACTGTAAAGATTTGAATAATATCAAAACAATAATAGAAAAAAAAGTCTATGCAACACGTGTGTTACACACAATCATGCTGGTTGAATTATCAAATTGTGTTTCAAGTAATGTAAGTCCGCATGATCTTCCACATGAACCTGTAAGGCATCTAATTTACTACGATCGTCTATTTTCATATGAATCATACATTCGAGAAGACACTAAGGAAAACAAAACGCAATTATATGTAAATATTTGACGTTTCTTAATTTATTGACATTAAGGACAAATATCACTGTTTCTGAACGTGAGAATCGCGGGATAATGTTAGACAAGTGATAATTAATTCTGTAATGTAATGAAATAAACAAACAAATGATAATAAATAATAATTTATACACTAAAATAATTTCTCATGTTAATGACCGGAGCGACATCTTGGCTTAATTAGATGAGCTGAACACACAGGACCATTGAACAAGGTTTACTTGTGAAATTCAGGCATGAAAACTTAATATCCAGCTTGCTACTCCATTCATATGATTAAGTAATAGCAATGTAGCATGGTAGAATGGTATCGATGGTTTAATGTATCACAAATGAACATTACTTTTAGTATTTTTACTTACAGACACATGATCCATGGTACACCATGTATCCCTGGTTACAGACACACTTGTTTGAACTACGGTCACAATAGGAACTAGGTCCGCATGGTCCTCCACAAGGCACTTGGTAATCGATGATGACAAAATATTAATTTCAAAGACAGAAACACAGGATAGCATGGGGCATCGAATTATAATTAATAACATACTTCCGACGAGATAAAAGGAATAATTAAAAAAAAAATAAAACTACACATTAATTTTTCCTGTCAGGCCTGTGGTCTTCAAAAAACGCATAAGTACATGATGTGTATTTACAGCACACTTACGAGTACAAGATCCGTGGTATAAAACGTATCCCGTGTTACAGACACACTGGTTAGTGCCGCGGTTACAGTAAGCGTTAGGACCGCAAGATCCACCACATGGTACTGTAGGTAGATACATGCATATATTTTCAAAGGCTGAAATATATCTCTTGTCTTTTTAGTATGCCACAACTATTACTTTTATAAATGGAAAACATGGCGATGACAACGAAAAATAAATTGATGTTACTTACGAGTGCAGGAACCATGGTAAAGGAAGTATCCTTGGTTACAGACACACTGATTGGAAACCTTATCACAGCGAGCGTTAGGTCCACAAGGTCCTCCACAGGGAACTGTAAACATAAAAATAATGTTTTCTTTAGCGAAATAAAACCATGTGAACTTTTTTTTAATCATTTTCCATTTCCCCTTTTAATTTTGTAATACTCAGCATATGGGTAGGTTTTTTTTCATTTCTGCTATTTTTGGTTTTGTTTTTTTTTGTTTTTTTGTTACAAAATAATTCAACTAAAAAAATTAGACATTATAGCTGGACAAAGGAAACGATAAAATGATTCTGGATTAACATAAATACTGGTATTTCGAATAAACTCACGAGTGCACGATCCGTGGTAGAGGACGTATCCGGTGTTACAGACGCACTGATTTGTTACTTTATCGCATCGGGAGTTAGGCCCGCATGGTCCACCACATGGCACTGTACGAATTCGAAATGTTTTCTTTAAATTTATACATTGGCTTTGTATTAAAAAAAGACAAATGTTTTGATAGAAAACCTTGATTATCTGTCACAATTTACTCGCGCGTGCTTTTATAGGAACAATTGCAAATGGGATTGTATAAACTATTCATATTTGAAATACGTACGAGTACATGATCCGCGGAACAGAACGAATCCTGTGTTACAGAAACATTGTCATTGAATATTTCGTATTTACGTATATGTAATACGTGTTGGTTAAACCGAAGTGCTTCATTCGGCCATGGTAAAACATTGTTCAATAATGGTTGTACCAATCAACTGGAAAGTCCCCTGAAACAAAAAGATACTCACGAACACATGATCCATGGTATGTAAAGTATCCTGTGTTACAGACACACTGGTTCCTGCCTTTGTCACAATAGGCGTTAGGTCCACAAGGTCCTCCACATGGCACTGTAAAAAGACACTTGGAGTATCAAATAAGACATCCACTTTTTCCTGTCGGTTCAAAATGTTGTGAAGTTTTAATCATTTTGTCAAAATCACTTCTGTGTTATGCAAACAATCCTAAATACTTCCAGAATCAATACTTACAAACGCACGATCCGTGATAGAGTGAATATCCGGTATTACAGACACACTGATTGGTTTGTCGGTTGCAGTATGCATTTTGTTTACAAGGTCCACCACAAGGGACTGCAAGCATAGTATCAGTAAGAAACCTAAGACATGTAGCAGTCAACCAACTTATTGATTATCGAGTAACGTCGTTACAATTATTGATGTTATTGTTTTATTTTATTGTTTCCAGTGATGGAGCTATTAATTAAATGTTATAAGATATAAAAATATCAAAAGTAGCAATAACTTTTATCATCATGTAAGAAAATATTAACTAGTATATCTCAAATGCTATTGGTAATAATTAAAAAAAAAAAGAAAAATTAATTTCATGACAAAAAAATAGTGATATAATAATCATGGTATAACAAATAACATAAAATTCAACCGTCGTAATCAATTACTTACGAATTAGACGTCACCGTAAATAATCCAAGTACTTACGAATTAGACGTCACCGTAAATAATCCAAGTACTTACGAATTAGACGTCACCGTAAATAATCCAAGTACTTACGAATTAGACGTCACCGTAAATAATCCAAGTACTTACGTGAACATGAGCCTTTGAATAAGATGTATCCTGTGTTACAGACACATTTCTGGGACATCATGTCGCAGCGGGCATTGGGACCACATGGTCCTCCACATGGCTCTGTGGGTAGTAAACATCTATATAAAACATTGCTTGATTGGAACTACATAGTCCCCCACATGTCAATGCAATTCAAAAAGCTCCAGACAATAACAAACGGCAGTGACTCTGTAATTAAGATGTTTTGCCCATGATTTTGATACACTACACATGATCATAGTATGACTAATGAAAACAGAAAGTTTCATTTTCCTTAACGTTCAGCTAGATTTCAGGATGGCAAAGTTATGCTCTGTAACTAAGGAGTTGCAGACCCTAATTTTGATGCACTGCACTAAGTCTAATTATGCTAGGTTGATATAAGTTATGCTCCGGAAACGACACAAGACATGTAAAGGCTTTTGCTAAAACCGGTTAACAGCACGTTTCAGAGCTTAACGAATAAATTGATTTCTTAATTAAACGTCGTCAGTTTTTCAAATATATCAATGAAATAAAATCAGAATGAAATAATATAACATATTCTTACTTTGGGGTTATTAATGATTGCTTTAGTAATCGGATACTTACTGTCGTCATCCTGGATTGTGACTGTTACCACTCTTCTACTACCAATGGACGCTCCAACGGAAACTGAGAGCATGGTTAGACTCACGGAGAACGTTTCAGTTTGTTCGTAAACCTACAATTAATCAGGATCAAAATAAAGTTTAAAGTTATAAAATTGTTTTACTCTGTTTTCAAACATGCTCCTGTCATTAACTTATATATGGGAAGTATGTGTTTAGATTTTTTATCACACAGACGGGATTTTTATTTGCATTCAAGGCAACATCAATCTGACATTAAACTTAGAACTCTGGCGATTGTGTCGTGTGGAATCTACATAAATACGAAATTAAGATGTTAATAACATCCAATGTTGTTGCAGCTGGAGATATTTTAAATATTTGCAAATACACAAATGTTCTGATGTCAATCCATGAAAATAAATAATGACTATCTAGAAAGTAATGACGACTTTCTTAAAGTGATCGCAATATTCTCACCCTGGAAAAAATATTTTCTATTTTGCAAAAGCTAATGTACATGTGAAATATAGCTTGTAGTACTTATTGATATTTATCTCTTTTTTCTTTATATGAAGCCGTACTTCACAATGTATATGGCGTTACCTGATCGTTGACGATATCTATAGAGAGAGACTCTGATTTTGAACCACTGTTAAATGTGACAGATCCTTGGTTATTGGAAAAGTCCCTGCCGTAATTAGCGGTGATGTCTCGAGTAACCCAGCTGACTGTAACAGATCCATACGTTCCACCAGTCCTTTCTAACTCGATCACTACCTGTTTTGAAATGCCTTCCTTCACTGAGTAGCTGCTTCGGACAAACTGAATCACACTTGGAACTGAAAGAAAATAATATATCAATTTATCGATTTGTCTTCATAACGCCATTTTGAGAAAAAGGGGGGGGGCAACAGTTATCAAAATATATAGAAACAAAAAGTGTAGAAAAGAAAACCAATAAGCCAATTGTGATCAAGGTCGATAAAAAAATCAGAGACAGTGAAACTCACATACCATGCTGAGGATGGTTTGGAAAAAAAACTCTCAGATAATTCAAGTACCAATCGGAAATAATACAAATAATACCATAATATAAGTTATTTTTTGGAAAACAATGGTAGACGTAAATTGATTTTTAATATGAACATCGGGGAAGTGTGAAAAACATTTCTTAATTGAGCAAGATCTTTTTACATCAGTGAGTCCTGGACAAAAATAGGAGTCGGGCCCGTACAAACTTCAAAGGATTTGGGGAAGTCATTTGGGAGATAAATATATCAAAAGACAGGGTAAGTAGCGAAGATAAATTATAAGATGACGTGTTAAACGACAAGGGTATTTTCGACGAAACTGTGGTACTTAAACATAACGCGAAAGTAACCTGGATAAGCGAAATGAATCGATTAATATGGAATAACAGACAAGAAAAAATAATAAATATTGTAATTTACAAATTAGCAATACAGAAAAAAGATCATGAAAGGTTATTGTAAAGAATACTGGAAAGGACTATCAAAGGCATGTTTCAGCTTATATTTATATATGGAGCATAATACGTATAAAGTATTCAAATGGAAGTTATACCATAACATATCATCGACAAAGAACTATTGTGAAAATGGAAGCAAATAATTTATGTTATGTATACAAAGTCATTGAAGGTTATCAACATCATTTTTATCAAGTTTAGTTTTCTTAATGTATTTTGATGTATTTTGGCATTGAAAAGCAAACCTCTCAATTACAAAAATGACAAAGTGAACATCCGATTATTGAAGTATATTATGATTGGTTATAAAATTATATACACGAATTATAAAAATATGTAATGTATTATTTGTTTAGATTGGGTTTGCAGTTTATAAAACAACTTCTGTGTTAGTGAACAAAAGAAGAAATGATTATATTCTTTATCTGTACTGATGAATAAAATGAATTATTATCGGTATTATAACTTATATACAAGGAAATTACAGGTAAAAAAGAGTATCTGAAGTTTCATGAATAATCTATGAAAACTATTTAGAACCGTGTAATGAAATACATGTAATACGAGTTGTGAAAAAGAAGAATTTTAAACATATAACAAAATAAGGCGTCTTACGATGACATCCTCCCTGGTATGCGTCTCCTACGTATCCTTGGTTACACTGGCACCTATTGCTGGCCTCGTTACAATAAGCATTGGGTGAACACTTTCCACCACATGGCACTAAATAATTGTAACAGTTCATTCATGAAGTGAAACACAACACGGCAACACATTAGGATCAAATGTATATATTTTCACCTTCCCCGCGGATTTCAAATATAACGTGCAACAAATTCGTATTTAGTCACACATGGGTATAAATGTAATTTGCTTGGGATTATGTTAGAATGATTCACTTTTCCATAGATAATATTGCTGATATTATTGTTTGACTGCTAATATGTCAATACTCACGAGTGCAGGTTCCGTGGAACAGAACATATCCCTTGTTACAGACACACTGGTTCCTGCCTTTGTCACAATAAGAGTAGGGTCCACATGGTCCTCCGCATGGCACTGAAAATAAACGCAAAATTGAGATATCGTAATGGTGTTATGTTAGGTTACATTTTCTATTCCCAAAAATTAAATAATGATTTTTTCTTGAAACAATTTTGTTTCATCTTTTCTTTTGCTACAATAACTGCATAGATATATGCAGGTTAGATGTTTCAACAACAAATTGACAGATAACCTAATGTTTAACTTCGTAGATCAGCTTGTCCCATGTGTTTTACAGAATAAATAAAACAAGGTTTAGTCGACAATACAAGAGTACACTTACGGGTACATTGTCCGTGGTATAGCATAAATCCCTTGTTACATTCGCATTGGTTGGTGACTTTGTTACAGAAAGCATTTGGTAGACAAGGTCCTCCACATGGCACTATTCAAATAAATCAATTTTCAAAATGAAATTATGTTTAAGCTGCGGAGTATGATATCCATTAATGTAGTGATTAAAAAATTGATTGATATATATATAAAATGGCCCATGTATGTCATTATTTAAATCTATTTAAATGACATTATAACAAAGCTTAATTTGACCGTATTGAAAATAATACACTACGCACAGACACAGGATCCTTTGAACAGGACGTATCCTTGGTAACAGACACACTTGTTAGAGATGAGGTCACATCGAGCATTTGGTCCACATGGCCCACCGCATGGCACTGAGAGAAATAGTATATGATGGGTAAAACACATCTTAATATGTAATATATTGAACTTCCTTGTCGAAGACAGAATATGAACACGGACATAAATATTTCAAATGCATATATTTAAAACGTTTCATTTTCACCGTAAAAACACGGCACCATTACTTGTAGTTAAATTGTTGCCAAAGATAAGGATCCACTGTGGTTTTACCTAAATATACATTTGTATATCAGAAGGCAATCAGTTTGTTTTAAACTTTATTTTTAAAGAGATGTTAAAAGTTGTAGCCATAGTTACTAGAGTCATCAATTTTTATTAAAATATACAAAACCTAGAGGACAAGCAGACATCTATATTCAACAGTAAGGTCAGTTTCACTCGCCTAAATAGGTTAAACACCTTTTTAAAAAAAAAAAAAAAAAAAAAACATTTCAACGCTGAAAACCTAAAACAGCTGCTTAGATAAAACAAATACGAAGATCTGCATAAATATCCTTGTAAACATGTTATGATTACACGCTCCCTGATACAAGAAGTGCAATTGTTACAAACACATTGACAATGAACAATTATAGATGCTCACTCATACAGACAGGTCAGTTGTAAACACTTACAGATACAAGTTCCCTGATACAATGAGTATCCCTGGTTACAGACACATTGGTTGGATAAGCGATCACAATATGCATTCTTTCCACATGGTCCTCCACATGGTACTGAGCAAAATGTAAACAAATGCATTTACTAGACTACTTACCTAAGAATGGCATGGAAGATTGGATAGATAATTTATTATATGCATAATGCAAAACTAGAAGAAAGTTAATCACCATTAATACTTGATTGTCGATAATTGTTTCAATACAAACATTGTCAGAAAGTTTATTATATACATATACAAATAATGGTATATTTCTTGAAATGAAAGCACGTATATTGTTTATTGCAGAATCAAAACTGTGATATGATAACGGATCTTCAATTCATGTACCTAGTGATAACAATATCCGTCACAAATAAGAAACCTAACTCACGTGTACATGTTCCATGATAGAGGATATATCCTGTATTACAGACACACCGGTTGATTCCTTTATCACAGTACGCATTGGTTCCACAGGCTCCTCCACACGGTACTGTAATATAACAAAGACTAGTAATCAACATTGGGAAAAAACATCTTGTCCTATATTCAAATTTGATTTACTTTTGTTACATATTACACGCGGGTTACAAATGTTACAAATATATAATGTTTGAAGACAGACAAAGACTGCCGCACAGAATAGTATTAAAGACAGTTTTGTGAATGATTTAAACGATGTACAAGAGAAGAGACTTACTTCTTTTGTTCACATTCTTCAAGAGGTTTGAATTATTTGGTAATCCGATATGGTATAAAATCTTATTCACATCAACATTTAAGCGTAGATACATTTTGCACTAAATATCATGTCAAGGATAAATTAATATCAGTATATTATTTAATATACTGAAATATAATGAAAACTGGTAAACAAAACGAAATTAAATTGAACGTACAGACACAGGATCCGTGGAACAACATGTATCCCTTGTTACAGACACACTGATTACTGGACTTGTCACAATAGGAGTTGGGTCCACATGATCCTCCACAGGGCACTGATTCACAGCGAAACATGATATTATCGTGCACAGATATGTATATCAGTGTCGCAATTAGTAATTTAGATAATAATTATAATAATGCTAAAAATAAAACAAAATGAATTAAAAACCAAAACAAAAGATGACACAGGAGAGTGAGAATATTTTAACAATCATCTGGCATATATTTTGGTTCTGATAGTTCTTTAAAAAATCTGAAATTAATCTCTGAAAGCGTACACTATCATACATTATTGATTTGTCTCACCTGTCTCAGCAGTGATTACTTAATTCCATTAATAAGCAAAAAGTAAACTAACTTACATGTACATGATCCATGGAAAAGGAAATACCCTTGGTTACAGACACATTGGTTTCTAGATTTATCACAGTAAGCGTTGGGCCCACATGGTCCTCCGCATGGCACTGAAAATAAGGTAACTTCTATAAAAATCGTTTCGAAAGCTATGGTTTGCAATTTCAGCTTCATAACATATTTTTATTGGTAATTCCTCATTTACAACTTACAATTATTCACGTTAGTAAAATGCTTTTTATATATTCTAATTGTTTTTTCTGTTTATCGGCATCTGAATGAGTCACTATATTTTTTCAAAAATAGTTATTGCTAAAATATCAGTAAACAGTAAGTTGTCTTAATCTTCAATAACTTCCGGTTAGACATACTTACAGACACACGATCCTTTGTATAGCATATAACCTTGGTTACATACACACTGGTTGCTGCTTTGGTCACAGTAAGCATTACCTTTGCAAGGTCCTCCGCAAGGCACTGTCAATATATAGAGTAAAAATCACAGTTATAAGGTTTAATTTATCTTGTTTGGCCTGAAACTACACAAAGGTTTCATAGAATAAATTGAACACAATAATCTAATATTTACGAGAACTATATACATATATACATCATATTTGTGGCCCAATCACATTTTTACAACACTTACGTGTACATGAGCCTTTGAATATAACATATCCTGTATTACAAACGCATTGGTTGGAATGTTGATCGCAATATGCGTTCTTGCCACAAGGTCCACCACAGGGCACTACAACATAATTGCAAGTTTAGATTCACGAATTTGATTCACTATGCACATGAATTTCACTCCTATGTTTTGTTTTGAATTTTTGATACAGAAATCACTTTAATGGCATATCTTCAATTTTCTTTTTTTCCCCTCAGTATTCTTATGGAGAGAACAGAGTATATTGATAGAATGACTTATGGATATACCGGTAAATGGTATTCGGTCAACTTTTACTTACATTGACAGGAACCTGAGAAGAAGATATATCCTTTGACGCATACACACTGGTTTGTCACTGAGTCACAGCGGGAATTGGGTGGGCATTTTCCTCCGCATGGGACTATATAATACATCACATTTAAAATTATTCTATAGGATGCATTCTTCAGAAGTATAATCCAAGATTTGAGGTTGTGTAAATATCTAAATGCGTGTAAATACAGTACTCGTGAGACATGTATTTAAATCATAAACATGTGTTTATTAATATATTATATCTTACTTCAAAAATCTAATAATAGACTCACGAGTACAAGATCCATGGAACAGGACGTATCCCTTGTTGCAGACACACTGGTTGCTGGACTTGTCACAATATGCATTGCGTCCACATGGTCCTCCGCATGGCACTACCGATAGAGTTACAACATATAGGTGGCATTGTGATATGACGACCCTAGATTAGTTTCTTTAGTAATGACAGTAAGTAAGATACATCAATACACTTTTGCATTCATTTGTGTTTTGATATCAAGCTTTACAAACGATTTTATACTTTGTATGTTTACGTACAGACACATGATCCATGATACAGTAAGTAGCCTTTGTTACAAACACACTGGTTCTTGTTCTTGTCACAGTAAGCGTTAGGTCCACATGGTCCTCCACATGGCACTACACATAAAAAGTAACTGTTATGTATTTCGTTTTACTAAGAAGAGTGATCATAATTAGTTGATTTTAAAAATAGGTTCCTCAACGTCGGAAGCAATCAGCAATCGATGAGATAATTATAATATCTGAAAATGCTGATCAATTCTTTCCTGCTTATCAGACCAATAATAAGAATACTAAGACTTTAGCATTTCAAGGTCGCATTCCATATTTTTATTGAAAGTAGAAAAAAAAACTTTGTTATTTTGAGAGGTTTTACAGAGGTACATTAATGATGGTTTATATTGTTATCTGCTATGAAATTGGTTGAATCGCCGCCCCCGAATACACAGGCACGTAGCACTCACCTGTACACATACGTACTTAAAAACCATTGACATAATTTAAACCAATACAAAGCAGGTAAGAACAGTAGCTAATATGAATATATATACTTACATACACACGAGCCTTTGTATGACATATATCCGGTGATACACACGCATTTGTTGGAGGGACGATTACATCGTTCGTTAGGTCCACATGGTCCACCACATGGCACTGTAAATACATACCTTATGTTATTCTCAAAGTAAATATGATTTGGTCATCAAATATTCATCAACATAATAAACATATCACGAAAGCCTTTATATACCTTTCAATGAACACAAAATATTTTCATCGCACATGTTATAATATATAAAACTTAAACATTAGACACTCGTTCCAGCAATGCATCGTTATATATGCTATTGATTAATATCTGTTATAGTAGTATTCAAAATAAATTTGAAATTGTACTCACGAGTGCAGGCTTTTTTGTACAGGATGTAACCCATGTTACAGACACATTCCTGAGACTGCATGTCACAATGTTCGTTGGCTTTACAGGGTCCTCCACAGGGTGCTATTAATAAAAATAAGAAAATACTATATGCAAGTGAATAGAGTCATGATTCGAACACAAGATAGATGGAACGACAAAAACATATACTGTCGAACCTCGTTGTCTCGAACTCTTTGTGACCATGGGGAAACTTTGAGATGACCAAATATCCGATTTAAGTGGGTTCGAATGTTTTGTGTAAAGTTAGGCAAGGGCCGACGAAATGCTTTCAATTAGACACGGTCTTTAGTTAAACGAGTTCGAGGTAACGAGGTACGACCATAATATGAAAGAAAAGCTTTACATGGAGACAATTTTGATTAAGGTAAAGGTTTGTTGAAAAGTAACACCTGATTCATCGATGACGTCCGCAAAACAAGTCTTGATAAATCCAAGGAAGTAATGTTACGTACTCAATGAGAGCAAGGTTTCTTAAAACAAAACAATCAGCTTTACCAACTAGCATCGAACTCTTGCAACTTCATATTACCTTAAATAAATGTAGAATTTCTAAATAAGCTCATTGTGTCTTGCATAGAACTTCACCGTATTCCTAATATCATATTCCTTGCATATATTGTTTATTTAATGAGTGAAATTATGCTTCGTTGTTACTTTAGTGTTGAAAATGATGGCATTGGTGAGGTGAGCAGCTCGCAATAATAAAAAGAAAAAAAAAAAAAAAAAAACCAACTCAATAAACCGGAGGATACGTTGTTACTCGTCAACAAAGTTTTACGTAACGTTTTGACTATCTAATTTGCAGAGGATTTGGTATTGGTATAAGGAATAGCCATGTCGATAGTCAAGGACTCACCATCATCATTCTTAATTGTTACAGTAGTGGTTGTAAGTGATCCGAGAGATCCACCAGTGGTAACATCTGTTAGAGATACTGTAAATGACTCATTAGGTTCGTAAATCTGCAAGTAAGGCATTATACAACTACTTTTAGGAAATTCTGGTAATACAAACATTCAGAGAGATATGAAAATGTTAAAAAAAACATAAAAGTGAATAATACATTTCAACTAAGATCTGAAGATCGTTATAATAAAGCCAAATAAAGTCAAACTACATCATCTATATGATTCACTTTACGCTCATTAGATAATATGTTAAGTATGAAGGTAATTGTAATCTGGCTATGACATACCTTATCATTAACAATTTTGATACTGATTTTTTGACTTGAAACTCCGCTCTTGAAATTGACTGTTCCCTTGGTGCCAAGGTAGTCTTTCTTCTGCACGGCAGTGCCGTCGTTGCTTTTCCATGATACAACATACGTTCCTGAACTTCCCTTTGTCCTCACGACTTCTATCTGTACCTGACCGATATTTTCCTCTACAGAATAACTAGGGCGTACGAGAGAGAAAACGCTTGGCTCTAAAATATAAAAATAAAATAATTCAGTGTCAGAATATGTGTTGCTGGCAAACTTTGGCTGTATTGTTATGTAGTTCAATGTCAGAATATATGAATAATATATTTTGTATAATGTACATATTGTATCTATCTGAAATATGTCTCATGACAAATTTATCATATCGTGTAGAATATAGTTTTTGTACATCACTACAGAAGAATTTTACTTTCTGTATTACTTACCGCTACATCCCTTGTACGGATCTCCGATAAATCCAGCTTTACATTCACACTCGTTATTGCTGTTACAGAAAGCGTTCTCTCTACATTTCCCTCTACATGGTACTGTAAAAACACACAATTTTAATTAGTAATTAAATGTTTGAGAAGTATTTACACAGAGGCGTGTTGAAATTATATTCAGTTATACAGTCATGCCATATTTATAATTAATTAGTAATCATACATACCATCACATCCCTTATAAGGATCTCCGACAAATCCCTTGTTGCAGCGACATCGGTTACTGCCGCTATCACAGTAAGCGTTCTTCTTACATTTTCCGTCACATGGCTCTAAAAGGAAATAGTTGTGTTCCCAAATTAGAATCAAGATAAGAAAATGTATAGGTTCCAGAAAAGCAGAGTACACGTGATTAGAATTTGAAAACTGTCTAAAATAAATGATGTTTTGATAAATAATACCGAGCGATGATTCAAGAACAATGCTTACTTCCACATTTGACGTATGGATCTCCAACCAGACCTTCCCTGCATTTACATTTGTTGTCTGTATCACAGTAGGCAGTCTTAGCACATCTGTCGTCACATGGTTCTGGGTTAAAAAGTAAGATGGATAATGCGATTTTCTGGCAAATGCAAAATCAAGAAACCTATTTTAGACAAAGACGTTATATTATTTGATGAAAAAATAATTTGCATGAAGTTTATATTCCCATAAAGTAAATGGATTGCTGCTTTTTGGGTTATCAGCATTGTTTTCATACTGCAACCTCGATGAAATACATTGCATCTCATGTTGTTTATCATTTGGCTAGCAGTAGGTCATTTACGGTGTAAATTACATAAGGCATCCAGACCATGCAAGTCTATAATTCAACATTTCAAATGAATTCATCTATAGATTCTTCCAAATATGATCTTGATAAATGTAGCACACTTTATAGTTCCGAATACACGCAAACCTATATAAGACCAAAAGTATAAACTTCGGACAGGAAACAAAAAGAAAATACCAACATGTCAACACAATCATTATCCAAACTAAAATTCAATAAAACTAGGGCAAAAATGAACCCCTGAAAAAGTACAATGAAATAAGACCACGCTTTCCGGAAGTGTAACTTACTTCTACAGCCTACAGTTGGTACTCCTATATATCCCCTATTACAGTAACATTTGTTGTCTTTCTTGTTACAGTAAGCGTTCTCCTTACAGGCGTCGTCACATGGTTCTGGAGAAAATAAACTTCCAAATAGTTTTGTGTTTTGGCCGAGTTATGAAATGTATTTCTTAAAATGATCAAGCTATGTTTATAACCTGCGGTCAAATTTATGTGGCCTCAGTGCAAAATGAAACAAAAATGGAATCTAATAATGAATTAGCAATGGACATTTCAAGTGTAAGGCCTTGTAGGTATTACATAAAAATAATAACATAATTGTCTTATATTGTTAACTCAGTGGTATATCAAGGAGAATGAAATAGATATCACATACTGGCACATCTTGTGTAGGGGTCTCCCACCAGTCCAGGATTACAGTAACACTTGTTGTCTTTGTTTTTGCAGAAGGCGTTGAAAACACATTTTCCTCCACATGGAACTATTAGTAGACAATATTTAAATGACATGTTTGAGTTATTTGATCAACTTCCGTTATTCCTAAGTTAATCAATAAAATACCAGTATATGTAATCTTATTTTCCTCCAAAAGCATATTATGTACACGAAAAACACCAAGAAAATACCAACATGCCAACATAACCATAATCCAATCTCAAATCTCATTAAAATAGGGCAAAATATGAACAATAAAGATTTACATGGACACTCCTGATAAGGTGCAAGGAAGTGTAATCAAACGTGAAAATGCTTTTGCAATATTATAACTGAAATACAGTTGTTTTTTTTCTTTTGTGGACAGACAATTAATATCAGGAATACAATAAGCTAATGACGATCATTCATAATATAATATGTTGTACTAATCATAAAAGCATCAGCATCGATATTTAGAAAAGGTATGCAAAAGTTCGCACTCATGGAATTTGATGCTCAGAATGTTTGATCGACCCCTTCAATCATATTCTTGTCAGAAATACCCTTCAAACCCTGCTGTTAATCAATGATAAGGAAATGTATTGTGTTGGTGTGATTTATTTGATTTATTAAAACGTGATATATATATATATATGTTTACCTTCACAACCATCCTTGTAGGGATTACCAATGTAACCTTTGTTACAGGCACATTTGTTAGTTTTTATATCGCAGTAGGAGTTTGATGGACAACTGCCGCCACATGGAACTGTGCAAATCAAAAATAAGACATTCATGTTTATTTTCAATCCTTCATCCATGTTATATCCCATGCATTTTTCCATAAACATGTGGAAGTCTCTCATTGTTTATAATATGTCAAGATATTTCGATGGACGTCGCATAATAAAAGACTGGTTATGAGAGATCTACCTTCATAATCTAATATCAAACTTGTAACTGCTGGAAAAACGTGATTTCAATAAGTTGTGTTGATTATAATTCTAACAAATCAGAATGTCCCGTTATCGAAATTTAGAATATGATTTCCAAATAGTTGAGAAAAATATCTCCTGATAATAACAAAAATCCTTAAGTGCCTAATGTTTTTTTCTACACATATTGTAGAAAAATATTCAATTTCCATCTGAAGCTATGGAATGTTGAACAATGAACCTTAATACTTACGTTCACATCCCTTGTAAGGGTTTCCAAGGTATCCGGTATTACACACACATTTATTGTCTGATTCCCGGCAGTAGGAGTTAGCCTTACATTTATTATCACAGGGGACTGTGAAAAGAAAATCAATACTATAAATTATTAACTAAATTCATTAAGCCACCTTGCCCAAAACATATTATATATTACATTTGTTCTATTAAAGATAGAATTTAACCTGTAATTTTTGGGACTCATAAATTTGAGTCATGGTCTCATGCTTTTTTTATATCTCTTAGTATTGGAACTTTTGTAAATGGTGTTACGGATCCTGCAAAAATGCTGTTTAATCAGTATTTAAATTTTGCTAAATGTATATTCATTATCTAAATGTAACTATAACAATTCCTGGAATGGTTGATAGAATGGAAAACAATTCCTCGTAAAGTATCTAATAGGATAAACAGAATTATTTACTGCATGTATATAAAATATTCCATAGCTAATGTTGGTAAAGGGCGAATCCATATTTTTTTCTATATATCATAATTAAGGTGGTGAATATGCAACAGAGTATCACCACACACCTGCACAACAATCTTAATGTAAATTGTACTCACTGTAACATTTGGTTATAGCACTTCCACTGTAGCCTTCCTTACATTCACACTGATTGGTTATTTTATTACAGAAGGCATTAGCGATACATTTACCACCGCATGGTACTACAAAGAGTAAAACGACACTGTTACATCAAAGCATTATGACTGCATTATTAAAGTGTAAAACGTTAATGCATTTATCAGAAGCAAACTTACACTCTTATTAATCAAATATTATGTGTCTTGCAATGCTGTCACTCTATCAATACACATTAAATATTCGAAACAGAAAATCTATTACCTTTAATATATGTGAGTAGTTATTTACATAATCTCCCCCTCCCTGGAATGTCACGTCGTATGTAAATACTATCTAAAGGTTAATGCATGACATTGTGTTTAATTAACAATAGACCTTTCTTTCCGCTTTTCAAATTTGTCATCAATTGAGGACGAATGTTAAAATTTAACAGCAACAGAAGCACAAAATAGTTTAATTGATAGTTATAAGGATACTTTATTCCTGTGCTGTAATAACGATTCTGTTTCATAATTGAAAAGGTTAAAATTATTACAATTATTACGAAAAAAGAATCAATATTCAGAGATATCTATAACGTTCATACCATCACATCCCATGCTTGAGTAGGGATCACCAACGTAGCCTTTTTTACAGTGACATACGAATTCCTGCACGTCACAAACAGAATTCGGTCCACATTTGTCCCAGCATGGTTCTGCAATTTAAGATATCAAGGTCAACTTCAATCCCATTGAAAAAAGAGCACAAACGTTCTTAGATTATTGTGATGCGCAAATACTAAGTAAGACATATACTGAAGACGTCACTGATTAGAAATGTCGTAATTCTAGGATAAAAAACTGACGATTAACTAACATCATTTCAAATAATGTATATTTAAACGGTTGTTTTGTGATATTATTGTCTTAATGTACTTGATAACGGTTAATTTTCGCTTTCATATGCGTAATTATCTTCAGAGTATAAAGAATATGTGTAATAATATCTGTTGTTTAACATGTGAAGCCTAATTGTCATGAAATGGAAGATGGTACGAGAGAGACATCCGGAAGTAGCAAATTTCGACTGAAGAGTTATTAACAGTAAAGTCAGTATCATAGAGCTGATTTGTTCTTCTAAAAACAACCTCCCTTTTTTTTTAATTTTCGGAAATAATTTTAGCGTCTACAATACAATCTGCTTAATCAGATATACTTAAATACACTGAACCGTACATGTACAGCCACTAACCACGTTTTATACCATGTCAATAACAGCAGGGTTCACACTTGTTATTTTAAGCCGATTTCTCTGTACCGCCCCCTACATTTCAATACCTTGAACCCACAACATCATTTAAGGTCCAGTAAAAAAGAAACAGCTGTACACTTTTGTATTTTATTCATTATTTGGTATCTACTGAAGCTATTGATAAATCAGACTATAAAGTTCTTAATCTCTTATGTATCTTAAGTGCTAATTAAATATTATTGATATGGTGGTATGGTATTCAAGACTTGTACACCATTTGAATATGGACAGATACTAAGTGTTATAAAGTGTGCAGTTCTGCAGAGCAGCTGAAAGAACATATTGCAGAAAGATATTAAAGCAATGCTGTGGCGTTTGGTTTTAAAGTGTTATACTTATCATATTATTAACCACCTTGAAGAAAGATTTTAAAAAGACATAGTAATGAACAAAATGAAGAGATAAGGTGTTGAAAGCTGAATTAGTATATTACACTGTTGTCAGATGATTCCAACCTCCAAAGAAGATACCAGATCGCCAGTTTGCTAGTTTCGATAACGAATGATTAAGAAGAATACTCTACTTTTTAAAAGACGAATTAATATAAAGTGAACATGACAGGGTAATAGATGACAAACACCTTGCATTCCTTAAATCAAAACAATAATGCGACGTGTCTAGAACACATCAAAGAGACAAACTTCCGTACAATATTATAGAAAAGTCCAAGTCATTCTAATCCATATTGTAAACATTAACTTAAATAAATCACTTTCTAAAGAATATATAGTTTCTTAAATTTCTTCATCTACCCGTTACACAAAATAAATCAAAACTATGATTTCATATCAGTTATAATATAAGGATAATATCATGATTCATGAAATTTCCTTATTAATATGTCACATTTTCGAGATTTTGCTGAATTTGAAATAAAAATTAATTAAAATGTTGAAATGAATCTCACTGGAAGACGAGTGTTTATCCTAATTGGAAACCAGAAATTTGGTATATATTATCAAAGCTGAAACGAAAAGACATTATGTTCATCGATCACAGATTTAGAAATTTAGATAACACGAACCAATCATTATCTGTATATCATACCGCTTTTTCATGGTGTTTTTGTTACTGTTTATGAAAGGTTCGTTGCGTTTAAGAAAGAAAACGTACGATCGCAGGGATGTTTGCTGTCGCCTTTGTAGTTAGCTTTACACACACATCGTCCATTTATGAGGTTAGCATTTTCACAGCACCAGGTTTTGCCTCCTCCGGAAGATCCTCCTCCCATGCCACCCATTCCACCCATTCCTCCCATTTCACTGTAGTGATCGGCCACTGAATACAAAACATTATTGAAATATTAAATATTTTTTGTTGGGAAATGAATAATGTGAAACATATACTTTATTTGATATTGATAACATTTAGAAAAATATTGTAACTTTTATCTTTAAATTTAAAATTTGAATGAAAAAAAAAATGAACAACACATAATACGAACATCATTTAAAACCTTACCTATTGTCATATGCAGAGAGCATATGGCATTTTAACTCCGAATGATTCATAAAAATTTACTTAAACGAAATAAAATATGTCCATAATATCGCCGGCTAGCAAAAACAAAACAAATAAATATATGATATAGCTCAACGGATTTGGAAGGGTACTTATGTACATATAAGAAATAAATAATTGCTCCATTGCAATATATACAAAATATAAAGACTGGCAGTTCTTGAAAGCAAAGTGTGAAAGATATTTTATAAACATCTAAGATAAATAACCTCGGGATAAGAGAACATTTCTGATTTTAGCAAAGTAATGATATTTCGCCTCTGAACTTGCAAGTGACAAGCCTCCCTGCAGAGTTACATAGTTGTATATAAAGCATATAAAGTATATAAAGAGAAGGTATCACGACAATCATGCAATATTTGTGTTAGGCTTCAATATTCTAAATCAAGAGATGGCAAACGGAATAACAGGTAACAATTATAACAAAATCGTGCTAAAACTTACATGTAGACACGACCAGCGTCAGTGTACATATCCAGAGACTAAAACCCTGACTCTGTTTGGGGAAAGCCATGATTTCGAAATGGTGATTGAGCCCAAGAAGGAGACAAACAGTTTCCTTTTTATATTGAGAATAACAGCTTGTAGAATTATAGTCTCGTGTCAAAAATTACCTATGGTTCAGAATAACATTTTACGTGTAATTTATTTTCTACAAAGAGTTGTGTCATTTAAATGAAATATAAGTTTTCGGAAGAATATGATCATGAACAAAGTATACAATTAATGGGCGAATTATACGATACCATATAATCGTCTTATAATGGCACGGTGGTCAACAGATGTGTCAATTGCTCTGTCGACGAAATGTGACCTTCTAAAAAGTAAGCTATTTCCATTAATCGATGAAATAATGTTGGTGGGTTGCTGGACGCTCAATGTGCTTGCAAAAATACGATTTTTGTGAGTTCATTACACTAAGTAAAACACATTTATCAACAAGACATATATTAAGGTATTTTTGCAAGTGAAAATTAAGATAAGCTCGATTCACTACAGGGTTGGAGTGGGAGGAGATTAGAGATCACCTTGAGATCTGTACATAAAGTAGATCATACCGCATTCGAATCCTAGTGAGAACCAGGAAGGTTAAGGAAGGGTACAACATGTACGATATAGTGAATAGACCAATGCACTAATAACAGTGCAGAAAGCCTCCAAATAATGACACTACCCTGCACAGAGACGTTATTTGATGTATTAATACAGTTCGTTTATTTGGAGTAATTAAATCGTCGACGAAATTTATGAATGAAATATGAAATAGAACTTTATGAACAATAACTTTCTTTTAACGTGTATTTCAGAAATAAAGCACGCAATTATGTGCTGCGTAATTTTTCTTTATCGCTTATCTTCATTTAAGTGTCAAGTATGTGACAACTATGCGCATGACTATCGATAACATATGATTAAATATTCATATTTTGGTGTTTGTACTCAGAAAAAATAAAGCACCGCAAAAAATTATGTAAAGTCTGTATATTCAAATTTATCGTCGATTAAGCATATATTCGAATCTTGAAGATTTACAAAACTTGATCTTCATTTCGATAGAGGCGCTACATCATTAGCATATCGTTAGAATATCTATAATCTGGCACAGATGTTTGTTATTAGACCAGCCAATCAAAACCACAATATAATGACCTATAATATGTAAACTGTATGTTTAGTAGATTCAAAATTTACGTATAATGGCATAACGTATAGAAAGTCACTTCGCTTTCATTGGCTCTTATTATAATCAATCAGAACGAATTTATATAGATTTTTTTATTGGCGTTATCACATCTTTTCTTCTTTTTCATCAAATGTTTTCTTCAAACAAAGAATTGTCATCAAGCGCTCTTCATGCTGTGAGCATAATTAAGGAACGGTAAGTCAGTTTTTAACTGTTAACATCATGTCTGTTAATATGAGCATTCAAGATGTCTTGCAACTTCGATTGTTCACAACTATGTATATATTTACAATTAACCATGAAGTTTAACTCTTTAACTTTTGCTATGTTCATTGTCATAAATCATTTATGATGCTGGTCTCTCACGCACGTAGAAATATATATTATGGATGCATAATTCCGACGTGATGTTATTCTATCAAATATTAAGTTTGAATTTCACGCGCTTGAAATGCGCCCGAAATTCAGCCATTTATAAAAATATTGAAATTTTGCTATAATTCAATCACAATTGAAACGGGAATAAATTTTACATAACCACTCTAAAGTTATTACATTCTCTTGAGTTCGGATGTAGTTATCCCCGATAACCTAAAACATTACTTAAAAGGAAAAAAAGACTAATATAGATTAGTACATTTATGTGTGATCGCATCTTTGGTTTCATCAGGTTTCAACATTTTAGGCATTTGGTATCACTAGCCATTCCTAGAAGGACGAAGCAATTGCATGATCCAGTTTGATTTGTTACTTGACTATATATTGTCTAACTATAAATATGCATTGAAATGTGCTGTTCAATTATATGTCCTCTATAAATCCTTTCCCTCTATCTAGATCATATATGTATTTGATTCATTGAAAGTGAATGTTAATACTTCTATGCTGAAATTAGGTTACAACATGAATGCGAAATCCAGTTTGTTTATATTCGCGTCTATAAGGAAAATAAAAGACAAGGTTAAGTCATTTTCGTAAATGGAACAACTTCATCAAGTATTGCCGTATTCCAACTTATTGAAATATATTCATGATTTCGTTTTGATACACATTATGTGTTGCAATTGTAGTTAATTCATTTTAATCAGCACCTGTTATTATTTCTTCTCAAAATATGTTATCGTTTTGATAGTATCTGTAGTAACATGACGTCAAACACGTGTCTTGATATTTTCAATCAAATGCATTTCCGTTTACGCCAAAATATTAACCACCCAACATTAAAAACTAAAGCAAACCAGTTAGCTCGTATATCTTATTTTTGGAATCTACATAAGAATTTTAGTTGTGTTTCACGGAGAGGACTGAGATAGAGAGTAATTTCAATTGTATATACGCAGGCCTCCAGACCAGTGTGTATATGAATCACCATCCCTCTCAAGATGAGGTCCTCCTTAGCAAACACACCCGTCACTGCTGTGCGGATTTCCGGCGGATCCCTCGTCAAGAGCGCACCTGTTGGTTACGTGGTTACAATAGGAGTGTGGGATATATCGGCCATCACACGGAACTTTGGGTAACAAGACCGATAAATATTCTCCTTAAAATCGGAAATCAAAAATTCATCTAATAACGAAGTTGTTTACAATCAGCTTTCAGAAATCATAGCCCTTTATTATTTGCAACGAGCACTTGACCTATTAGGATGAATTTTAATTTACACACTGTACACAGACAATGATTAGACTGGTATGCATTATACCTAATTTACCTCAGCATTACTATGTGACGTCTCCGATAATCCCCTTATTGCGTGAACGCTTGTTTGAAACCCTGTAGCAATAGGCGTTGACTTCTCAGAAGCCTTTACAAGGCACTGTATTGAGAAACCATATTTAAATGAGAAAATTATAAGCCAGCTTTAACCAAAAATCAAATAAGCATAAAATGTGTTGTTTTGTTATTTCATGGAGATTTACAAGCTGAAAATAAGCAATCGGTCAAAAAGTTCCTTTAGAATTATAAGGATAGAAACACTGTGCTTATCTTAACTAACTAAAGACAGTCAAGAAGTAAAGTTGGCTCTAACCAACATGTCTTAGAGAACGAATTCATGCAGGAAAAAATAGATCTCTAGTTTTCGGAAATACGACTTGATTTAAGTATTGGATTGTAATCATAATTATCCTTAACACATACACTGGCATATAGATGGAGGGTTTCCAAAGAATCCTCATTATACAGCTGTTCTCTGTCTCATTATAATATGATATACAGCTCCGTCCACATGACACTGTAATTACAAGTCATTGTGTTTTTCGTGACACATTTCAAAAATGTTACAAAGGTTTGGTTTTGGTTCCAAATGAAAGTTAACTACTGAACCTTTAATCGGATAATAATTATGAAAACTTAAATGATGAATATATCATTAAAACCTGTATTGTTGGTGGTCATGTCGGAGAACGACAAGCAAGATTCACCAAATGGACACTGGAATAGATGGGGGAAAAATAACTCTTCCTTAAACTCTATATACAGCGTATCAATATTCACCAATAAGCAAAAAAGTTCACAAATCCTTGAAAACTGATTTTGATAAACAATGGGGAATTCGTTCCTTCGGGTCACTTAGAAATGATGCAAATTCTTTACAACAGATAATCATCATAAACAATGATGGCTCTCCGACTTAAACATACAAACACGACTTCATAAGTATAAATAAAAGGAGGCGACTATGCAGCTAAATACGCTCACTCTTCTTGAACACTTTTTTTCTTTTCTCGTTTTTTCTGACGGGTTTCTTGTAATAATGCTTTTGATTCTATTTTGCCGTTTTTTCTGGAAACTCATATTTAAATACTACCGTTGTTAACGTGTCGATATTATCCCGTTACTTATAGTATATAATTACAATAACGAATTAGTTCTTATTATCATTGAAACCGAAGGTCGGTTTTCATACTAATGATAGCAAATACCTGATACACGACTCATGACGGAGAACATATATAACACACATAGGTTAGATTCGCGGTCACGATGAAACATACACAGGTGTTACCAAACTTACATAAAACACTCAGGTACACAACAGATTATGATGTAATTACATCTTACAGTTCCTAATACATATCTTTGCAACATATTTGATTTTAACTTAATTTGTTTTGTAACCAAAACGATTCTACATTCGCTTTTTTGATAGCAAATCAGGAACTGTGATATGATATGATCACATTTTAAGTTTTAAATACAAACGCCACATAACGAAAAAAACAATCAAACCCAGCACCAATCAGACAAGTGCTACTAGTTTTTGATGGCGCGGTATGTAGCAGTAGCCTCCCTTTAACTTAAAAAAACAATATGATATATATCTTGCATGTACTTGGGGCACAGGACCATTACTATCAGATCTAAATAGAGCTTAGTTTAATAGTTCAAACTACACACTTACAAACACAGTATCATCACTATCTGATCTTAATAGAGCTTAGTTTAATAGTTCAAACTACACACTTACAAACACAGTATCATCACTATCTGATCTTAATAGAGCTTAGTTTAATAGTTCAAACTACACACTTACAAACACAGTATCATCACTATCTGATCTTAATAGAGCTTAGTTTAATAGTTCAAACTACACACTTACAAACACAGTATCATCACTATCTGATCTTAATAGAGCTTAGTTTAATAGTTCAAACTACACACTTACAAACACAGTATCATCACTATCTGATCTAGTTCAAACTACACACTTACAAACACAGTAAACTAGAGCTTTGTTTAATAGTTCAAACTACACACTTACAAACACAGTATCATCACTATCTGATCTTAATAGAGCTTAGTTTAAAGAAAGTGCACAGTACTTCTGTCCATTTAAAGTTCGACCAAGGACATGCAAGAACATGGTATGGAAGTCTTTGTTCACTATTCGTAGTCTTTCGGAATCTCTGCCAGGTTTGGAAACGCTCGTCAACACACACGGTTTTGTTTAGACAATGCATTTTCTAAGATATAACAAAATGACCGTCATTAAAACATGCAACTACGTGTTCTTACCTATATGTCATACCACGTATATTATACGACATATGCGCTATACAGACTTGAACAATTACAGAACCATTTGTCAATTGTTGATGTGCTTTCTTTAAATAAGATTGTTTAAATCTACACAGGTTGTCATAAAACATTGAACACAGCATGAAATAGGTTTGTTTACAAGCAAAATTATATCATTTATAATTACCATTAATGCTATACAGGACACATGAACGCTTATATTTATAGTCTATTCTCATGCCAGAGTGTGCCAATAATATGCTACTGTAACTCTGTTGGTAACCTGTATGTAAAATGTACATGGAAAAAAAGAGTTAGAATTTTTTCATGTTATAAAGTCTACACCAAACGCAGATATTAAGATTCAAATTCTTATAAAGCACATATAGCAGGATTATAAACATTACAACAAAAGCAGCATGAAAAAAATGTAACTATTATGTTATAGACAGACAGGCAGACAGACAGACAGACTTTATTTCCTCTTTTAGTGATATCGTTTGTTTCTTTTTTACATAGCCTGCACACCACTGTATTCCTTTCATACCGATACGACAGTTTTATTAGTTCTCCTAGCGCCCATGTGCAATCTGGAAGTTCAAGACTTAATATCCAGAGTGGATTAGGGCCTGGATTGGAGTGAATCGCACCATACGTTCCTGATAGAACTGAATAGTTCATTGCTTCCCGCCACTTTTTGAAATAAAATTCCTCCACTATCCTACAAGAATAAGTTTTCCACGATACGCGTGTTGGACAGAAACCCTCGAACAAGAAGTCAAACAGATTTTTTGATATATCGAATTTAGCCGCAGTAGCAAATATGTCGTGAATAAAACTTTCGGCTTTAAGAGTCATGCCACCAAAAGCAAATGCACACAGTCGAATTAAAAACAGAATTTCCCAGGCGTATTTGTTGCTCGCAGAGCACAGCTTGTTCCAAAATAATAATTTTCTCATGTCGACTTCGCCGGATATGTCTAACAGACCAATGGCGCGTGTTGTCACTAGCTTTGGAGATGTCTTCTCAAATCCTTGACATCTCCTTGCTATATATCTTTGTACAATTTCGAGCTCTCGCACGGATTTTTGTGTAGGATTGGCCCACAATTCGCAACCGTAGAGAATGCGTGACTGTACTATAGCCTTTATTAGTGTGACGCTTGTAAACGGGTTCATTCCTCCGCTGTGGATACCTACACTTATCAGTGAATTCAACGACTTTCTCCCTTTTTTTGCACGACGTTTTTATGTTTTCGTCGCAGCGAAGGTTTGAAGTAAGAGTGATTCCTGCATACTCTTTCACAGTGACCCAGGCTATAGCATGCTCACCAAGTTTGCACTCTGTTCTCGGAATGTGTTTTGACGTTCCATTGTGAAACTGCATCAATGAGCTCTTTACTGGATTGTAGTTCAGACGCCATTTTCTTGAAAATTCATAAACCATATCAAGGAGGCATTTGAGGTTACCAACTGAACAGTCCATAAGCAGGGTATCGTCGGCTAGAAATATTGCTGGTATGTGCAGACTATGAATATTCAGGCCATAGCTAGATGAGTCAAGCTCGGAAATAAGGTCATTAATCATAACAAGAAAAAGCCATGCCGACAAAGTTCGACCTTGACCGACGCCCTGTTCGACTGGATAGGGGGTTCCCTTTTTTCCCTCGTATAGCACATATGACGTCACTCCCTCAAAAGAATTCGCAAGAATACGCCATATTTTACCGTTAAACCCAAGATTGTAGAGCTTAAACAGTAGACCATTAATCCAAACACTATTAAAAGCTTTTGCATTATCTAAGAATGCCGCGTAGACCTTCGTATTGAGCTCAAGGTGGTGGCAAATGGCTTCCCTAACAGTAAAGGCAGCAGTAATTCTTCCACATTTTGATCTGAAACCTTGCTGAAGACGATGTGGGAAGTTAATTTTTGTGCACACTTTTGATATCCTCTGGTATAACACTTTTTCAAATATTCTTTGAAGCACAGGTGTTAGCGTTATGTCACGGTAGTTATTGACATCCAATCTGTCCTTTTTTCCACCCTTGAATAATGATATGACGATTCCATGTTTAAAGCATAGTGGATAATCTTCAATTTCCAATATGACATTAAACATCTGAGTTATCAATTTGAGGAGTTGCGCACCGCCGAATCGAATATGTTCTAACACAATGTAGTCGTGGCCCCCCGCTTTACCGTCCTTCATGTCTTTTAAAGCATTCAATACTTCCTGTTCGGTAATACGGCCTTGACATACACTATTCGCATTTAGATAACTAATAGCACGAAGCTCGTGTACAGCGGAATCTATCTGATGCCTATGCACAGGGTCAAAGTGTTGTTTTTCTATGACACTAGCAAGTTCACTGTAGTGATTGGTCCATGCTTTACGGTTGACATCTGCGTCGCGCGATATCTTACCATTGACCCGTAGTTCTGATGTTTCATAACCTTTGACCTGTCGCGAACGGGCAACTTTATAAAAAGTTCCAACATCAACTTCAGCTGTTTCCGCCAGTTCCATTAACTGCTTGCGTTCATATTCACTTCGAGCAATTTCAAGTTCTTTTACAAACATGCGTTTACATAATTTGTATTCTCTAAACGCGTCAGAGTCCATTCCACGTGGTCTGCCTTCAGCTATCCATAATAAACGTTTTTCACGCATTGAAGCATGTAATGCCTTTACTTGGTTATATTTCCAATACGGCTTAAGAAACGAACGATATTTTTTCATAGGAAGAGTTTTCTTCGCAGCCTCGTGCATACAACTGATTATGTTTTTAAATTTGTTCTCTAGAGAATGCACATCACACGCAACTGCCCGAAGACTATCCTTTTCACAAAGTTTCCTACTAACATTTTGCGCGTATTCTAACTTTTGCTTGGCCGTGCATTTTTTCCAGTTGACAGAATTTACACTACACACGTGCTTGCTTAAACAAACAGGAAGTTCGTAACGTAGACGTATAGGAAGATGATCCGAAACATTTAAGTAATGATCATCGAGAATAGTGCAATCACATACACAATCAATTTTGCTATTTTCGATGAAGACATGATCGATGAGTGAACCTAGCCCGGCTTTGGAAACATAACTTACTGACATGCCCTTTGTCCATACTTGAGAGTTAACGGAGATCAGATGGCGCTCATTGATGAATGTTTGTAATATTTTACCTCTCTCGTTTGATTTTTGGTGATTTTTTATTCCAAAAGATTTGTTTATCTGCGCATTAAAATCACCCATTAGAATCACATGCCCTTGTTGGGAGAACCGATCATAGAGGTCCGATACACACCTGAGAGTGTCTACATATACCTTTTTAGAAACATTCGTAGAAGGCATAAGAGCCCCTATTATAAACATGTGTGAATTGCCGCGAAGTTGAACTGAACAGCATACAACCCTGTCATTCCCTTCATTTAGAATAGGTGAAACAGCCATATCTTTTCGCCACATAAATGCAATTCCAGCGAATCCACGATTACACTTTCTGTTTTCAGGCTCTAACGCTATTCGTGCATCACAAACTCCATATGCTTTGAAATTGTTATCAATGGTATTCAAGAAATTCATCTGCTCTGGAAGAAGCCAGTGTTCCGTTATCAACGCAATGTCCGTGTCATTTAACAGCTTAGATAGCATGGGAGTTCCATACATAATACCCCGCATGTTCCAGTTAAGCAATGAAATTATGATACATAGTATAAACGCTAGGTATCTATTTAGCATTGTGAATGTCATGAGGATTGGTTATTAGAACACAGTTTACCAGCGAAGCGATCACGATGTTTCCATTCGCGCACGAGCACATTTTCTGGCCAAAAATGAGGAATAATCGCCTGCTCGAAATCTTGCTCTCGAACGTTAAGCCGGGCTGTATACGTCGGTTCTCTACCTGACCAGTATTTGATTATTTTCATATATGTTACCTTTACACCGGCATCTGCTGCATATGTAACAATCGAGTCAATTACATCATCCTCTGAGGCATCAGCAATAATTCTAGACATAAGAAGTTGTCGTGTTCGCGGCTTACGCTTTACTCCGCGAAATTTGTATGAGGATGAATTTTCCTCAGACAGGCCAAGCTGCTGCTTTGTATTGTACCCGAAGAATGTAACGTTTCGATGTGAACGATCCGAGTTACCATTAGCACAACTATTGAGCGAAACAGACAAAACTTTTGGCTCATCTGTATGTGTCTCTGTATTTGTCCTCTGAAGGACCTCTGCATAAGTGAGTGACATAGAACTCTCAAACCCTTGGTTGGTTGGAGAATTTTGATAAGAAGAGGCCTTGGTAGTTGTTTCTGCTTTGTTATTTGTTAAATCGACAACATCGTCGTCGCACCTGTTATCGCGCAGTACTTCTGATACTTTGATTTTTTCGTCATTGACCGCGACGATATTATCTTGCCTTATCAACGAAGATTCACACTTCTGAGATTTCAAATTTGATATTACGTTTTCTTTGACACTCAGTTCTGCTCGCAAGTGACTCATGTCTATCATAAGCGCTGATAATTATTGCTCTTTTCTCTCCTTTTCAGCTCCCATTTCGCGTAATTCGTTTTTAAGCTCTCTAATGTCTTCTCGCAACACAGTGTTTATTTCATTAATTTGTTCAGCCATTTCGTTTCTCATTCCTACAATCAGTATAAACAAGTCAGCAAGAGTTTGATTGCTTACATTGTCTTTAATACTTGACAGAGTACTAGAGCTTTCATTTACAGTAGCTGTCATATCGTTATGCACGGGTGATCCTATTGAGACTACCCGTTTTACCGAGGTCTGATCACTGTGTGGAAGCGATGTGTCTGCACAGTCTTTTGACACACGCGAGTCGAAGGTCGAATTTCCTATATCTTTTGATTTCAACAAATATTTTATCTCACTTCTACTGGTTCCACCGTCAATGTACTGGAACAGTGTGTAAATATCATCTATATATTTGTTCAACGCTAGTGAGTTTCCGACATTTCTGCGCCTGGCTAATTCCCCTTGAGGTGTATCAGGTATTCTCAGGTATTAACATTAAGCATTCATATCCCAACTTTTATGTTATACATCCATACTCCTACAGATAACGGCTTTAACATTAAGCATTCATATCCCAACTTTTATGTTATACATCCATACTCCTACAGATAACGGCTTTAACATTAAGCATTCATATCCCAACTTTTATGTTATACATCCATACTCCTACAGATAACGGCTTTAACATTAAGCATTCATATCCTAACTTTTATGTTATACATCCATACTCCTACAGATAACGGCTTTAACATTAAGCATTCATATCCCAACTTTTATGTTATACATCCATACTCCTACAGATAACGGCTTTAACATTAAGCATTCATTCTCAACTTTTATGTTATACATCCATACTCCTACAGATAACGGCTTTAACATTAAGCATTCATTCTCAACTTTTATGTTATACATCCATACTCCTACAGATAACGGCTTTAACATTAAGCATTCATATCCCAACTTTTATGTTATACATCCATACTCCTACAGATAACGGCTTTAACATTAAGCATTCATATCCCAACTTTTATGTTATACATCCATACTCCTACAGATAACGGCTTTAACATTAAGCATTCATATCCCAACTTTTATGTTATACATCCATACTCCTACAGATAACGGCTTTAACATTAAGCATATCCCAACTTTTATGTTATACATCCATACTCCTACAGATAACGGCTTTAACATTAAGCATTCATATCCCAACATTTCCTATGTTATACAACTTTTATGTTATACACCATACTCCTACAGATAACGGCTTTAACATTAAGCATTCATATCCCAACTTTTATGTTATACATCCATACTCCTACAGATAACGGCTTTAACATTAAGCATTCATATCCCAACTTTTATGTTATACACCCATACTCCTACAGATAACGGCTTTAACATTAAGCATTCATTATACATCTCCTACAGATAACGGCTTTAACATTAAGCATTCATATCCCAACATTTTATGTTATACATTCCCTTTTATACTCCTACAGATAACGGCTTTAACATTAAGCATTCATATCCCAACTTTTATGTTATACACGGCTTTAACCATACTCCTACAGATAACGGCTTTAACGGCTTTAACATTAAGCATTCATATCCCAACTTTTATGTTATACATCCATACTCCTACAGATAACGGCTTTAACATTAAGCATTCATATCCCAACATTTATGTTATACATCCATACTCCTACAGATAACGGCTTTAACATTAAGCATTCATATCCCAACTTTTATGTTATACATCCATACTCCTACAGATAACGGCTTTAACATTAAGCATTCATATCCCAACTTTTATGTTATACATCCATACTCCTACAGATAACGGCTTTAACATTAAGCATTCATATCCCAACTTTTATGTTATACACCCATACTCCTACAGATAACGGCTTTAACATTAAGCATTCATATCCTAACTTTTATGTTATACATCCATACTCCTACTGATAACGGCTTTAACATTAAGCATTCATATCCCAACTTTTACGTTATACATCCATACTCCTACAGATAACGGCTTTAACATTAAGCATTCATATCCCAACTTTTATGTTATACATCCATACTCCTACAGATAACGGCTTTAACATTAAGCATTCATATCCCAACTTTTATGTTATACATCCATACTCCTACAGATAACGGCTTTAACATTAAGCATTCATATCCCAACTTTTATGTTATACATCCATACTCCTACAGATAACGGCTTTAACATTAAGCATTCATATCCCAACTTTTATGTTATACATCCATACTCCTACAGATAACGGCTTTAACATTAAGCATTCATATCCAAACTTTTATGTTATACATCCATACTCCTACAGATAACGGCTTTAACATTAAGCATTCATATCCCAACTTTTATGTTATACACCCATACTCCTACAGATAACGGCTTTAACATTAAGCATTCATATCCCAACTTTTATGTTATACATCCATACTCCTACATATAACGGCTTTAACATTAAGCATTCATATCCCAACTTTTATGTTATACATCCATACTCCTACAGATAACGGCTTTAACATTAAGCATTCATATCCCAACTTTTATGTTATACATCCATACTCCTACAGATAACGGCTTTAACATTAAGCATTCATATCCCAACTTTTATGTTATACATCCATACTCCTACAGATAACGGCTTTAACATTAAGCATTCATATCCCAACTTTTATGTTATACACCCATACTCCTACAGATAACGGCTTTAACATTAAGCATTCATATCCAAACTTTTATGTTATACATCCATACTCCTACAGATAACAGCTTTAACATTAAGCATTCATATCCCAACTTTTATGTTATACATCCATACTCCTACAGATAACGGCTTTAACATTAAGCATTCATATCCCAACTTTTATGTTATACACCCATACTCCTACAGATAACGGCTTTAACATTAAGCATTCATATCCCAACTTTTATGTTATACATCCATACTCCTACAGATAACGGCTTTAACATTAAGCATTCATATCCCAACTTTTATGTTATACATCCATACTCCTACAGATAACGGCTTTAACATTAAGCATTCATATCCCAACTTTTATGTTATACATCCATACTCCTACAGATAACGGCTTTAACATTAAGCATTCATATCCCAACTTTTATGTTATACATCCATACTCCTACAGATAACGGCTTTAACATTAAGCATTCATATCCCAACTTTTATGTTATACAACCATACTCCTACAGATAACGGCTTTAACATTAAGCATTCATATCCCAACTTTTATGTTATACATCCATACTCCTACAGATAACGGCTTTAACATTAAGCATACTCATAACCAAACTTTTATGTTATACATCCATACTTTAACATTAAGCATTCATATCCCAACTTTTATGTTATACACGATAACGGCTTTAACATTAAGCATTCATATCCAAACTTTTATGTTATACATCCATACTCCTACAGATAACGGCTTTAACATTAAGCATTCATATCCCAACTTTTATGTTATACACCCATACTCCTACAGATAACGGCTTTAACATTAAGCATTCATATCAACACCCATACTCCTACAGATAACGGCTTTAACATTAAGCATTCATATCCCAACATTTATGTTATACATCCATACTCCTACAGATAACGGCTTTAACATTAAGCATTCATATCCCAACTTTTATGTTATACATCCATACTCCTACAGATAACGGCTTTAACATTAAGCATTCATATCCCAACTTTTATGTTATACATCCATACTCCTACAGATAACGGCTTTAACATTAAGCATTCATATCCCAAATTTTATGTTATACATCCATACTCCTACAGATAACGGCTTTAACATTAAGCATTCATATCCCAACATTTATGTTATACATCCATACTCCTACAGATAACGGCTTTAACATTAAGCATTCATATCCCAACTTTTATGTTATACATCCATACTCCTACAGATAACGGCTTTAACATTAAGCATTCATATCCCAACTTTTATGTTATACATCCATACTCCTACAGATAACGGCTTTAACATTAAGCATTCATATCCCAACTTTTATGTTATACATCCATACTCCTACAGATAACGGCTTTAACATTAAGCATTCATATC